CGGTGGTCAGCAGAAGCTGCCCTCTTTGCACAAACAGCAGCCTCTCCTGTCGATCAGGGAGTACCGGGAACCCTCTGGAAATCCAGCTTCCCAGACGCCAACCAAGGGCAGCCTTGTGAGCAGGGCTTTCCAGAAGGAGCCGGCAACCTGCTGTGTGAACCTTTTCTGCACAACTTGTGGGTACAGAACGAGGTCCTTCGGTCTGTCCCCTGAGGTCCAACTTGATGCAGCTGGTGGCCTCCCCTGAGCTCACAGTGTCCCCGCAGACCTCTGCCCACCCCCCCATCTCAGGGACAGTCGTGCACCATCCTGGGCACCGCCTTTGCCAGCTTCAGACCCGTGCGTGGCCTGGCCCCTGGCGGCCTCCTCCATCTCTCTGTCCGTTCTCTCCCTTCCTCGCTTCCCCGGGGGGAAGAAGGTTTGCTTCCTGAGGCGGGAGCTTGTCCCCTCCTGGGAACGGTCAGTAGGGAGACGCATTTCCCAGGGCTGTGTAACAAGTCACCGCAAAGCTGGCGGCTTAACACAGCAGACATTTATTCCCTCACAGTCCAGAAGCCAGATGTGCAAAATCCAGGTGTGGGTAGGGCTCTGCTCCCTCCGAAGGCTCCGGGGCGGAGTCCTTCCTGGATGCAGTTTCCAGAGGCCCCCGGCATCCCTTGCTTTTCCTTGCCTGGTGTCCCCATCAGCCCAGTCTTGCCCTCTGTCTTCACATGACCTTTCCCTTCCGCGTGTGTCTGCGGGTCCCTCCCTAAGGGCCCGCTGGACCTCGCCGGAACAAATTACCTCCGCAAAGCCCCTATTTGCCAAGTAAGGTCACATTCTGAGGTTTCTGTGGACAAAATTCAGGGGGAACACCATTTAGCCCACTGGAGGAAGAGAGAAATCAGTGATCTGCAGAGACAGGCAGCATAAAAAAGGAAAAAGAAACAGATGAGATTAACTTCACTAATACAGTTTATTGCACCCAATCTGTCCAAAATATGCTCTTTTTGGTATGTGTCACAATTGTAATCAACACACAGATTACTAATGAGATGTTTTACATCTTTCTCCGTAATAAGTCTTAAAAATGTGGTGTGTATTTCACATTGAACTTGAACAACACAGAACCAGAGCCTTAAAGAGTGACGTCAGGGCTCGGGCTCTTTCTGGAATGTAGTAGGTACTCAACAAATGATTCTTACATTGACCAGTAAAGCTTCTAATCATTAGGCACCCAAGGTATGCATCTCCCTGGCAGACCCAGGACCTGGGACCCAGCCCTGAGGCCTCCCTGTGACTGGCCAAAGCTTGTGTCTTTTCTAGGGGTAGGGCCTCCAGGGTCCAAACCCGACGTGATCTGCCGTCTGGAGCGAGGGGAGGAGCCCAGAATGGAGAAGAGAGAAGCCTGGCAAATTTCCTGTCCAGGTGAGTGAGGATGTCCAGGAGGTATGAGCCATCTTCCTACCTGGTCTGTCACGATCAGTGACAAGAGTGAGGCAGCACAGGCCATGATGTGGGCATTGGGTTTGAATCCCAGCCACACCACTTCCTGGCTCTGTGACCTTCGGGCAAGTCATTTTGTCCCTCTGTGTCTCAGTCCCCTCATCTGCAAAATGGAGTCAATAATAGTACCCAGGGTTGGGAAGAAGAAATGAATTAGCACGTAAAGCGTAGCCCAGCACCTGGCGCACGGTAACCCCTGGTCAGAATAGGCTAACGATGATTATTGGTGTTTGTTTACTGGGAAGCATCTGTGTAAAGACCCAGAAGTGGGACCCGGCCTGACATGTTGGGGAACAGGAAGCCAGGTTTTGCCGCCACTGGCTCACAGCTCCATGAGAGGAGAGGGTTGAAGCATCTTTGTTTCCATCACTGTCTACCGTCTTGTGGGTGGGGCTTGCCCCCTACACCTCACCGCACCCTGTCAGACCCCCCAGTCCTGTCCCTCTGCCCCCCTAACTTTTTCCAGTCCCCTGTGCTGTCTCCCACAGCCCTGCTCCGGCCTCAGCTCCCCTCGGCCAGAACCTCACCCCGGCCTCCTCCCTCGCCTCCTGGCCTCCAGTCTTATGCCCTCCAGTTCATCTCACACAGCCCCAGCGGGGTCTTCCCACACCGGGAGCTGATCCCACTGCTTCCCTGCTCACAGCCCTCCCGTAGCTCCCTAGTACCCCTGAGAGCAAGTCGTAGCCCCTCAGCCTGGGGCTGGAGGCCCTGTGTGGTCCGGCCTGTGCTGTCTCTGGCCTCCCCTCTCATCCCGGTCCACCATGGCTCTACCCCACATCCGGACCCCTTTGAAACACTTGCCCCCGTCTGCACTTTTTTTTTTTAAGTTTATTTTGAGAGAGAGTGCATGCATGAGTGGGGGAGGGGCGGAGAGAGAGGTAGAGAGAGAGGTAGAGAGAGAATCCCAAGCAAGCTCTGCACCTTCAGTGGGGAGTCCAGTGCAGGGCTCAAACTCATGAACCGTGAGATCATGACCTGAGCCGAAACCAAGAGTCACACACTTAACCGACTGAGCCATCCAGGCGCCCCTCTACCTGAAAAACACCTTGAATGTGTGTTCCTACCTTTGAGCCTTCACACATGATGATCCTCCTCCCTGGAACACTCTTCCCAGCTTTGTCTTCCTGGCAAACACCTTCATGTTCCTCAAGACGAAGATTATAGATCGCCTCATCCAGGAGGTCTTCCCTGACTTCCAGGCTGAGTGACCTGCCCCTTCTCAGTGTTTACACAGCTCCTTGATGGAGCTGCTATTACTGTGTTCATTCCTGTTGTAGTTAAGAGTAGGGGCTTTGGAGCCAGACTCTCTGAGTTCAGATCCCTGCTCTGCCACTGACGGGCTATGTGACTGTGGGTAAGTGACTTAACGTCATTTCCTCATTTATAAAGTAGGGATGCTACTAGTACCCACCTCACTGAATTATTTTTGAGGACTAAATCAGTTACTAGATAGAACAACCTTAGAACAGTGCCTGGTACCTAAAAAGCATTTAATAAATGTTACCTATTGCAATAGTAATTGTTATCCTATTACTAATATCGTGATTACCTGATATATTAGTCTAGACTCTTTTGCATGTAAAGAATCAAAAGGGCTTAGGTAAAATTGATTTTTTTGGACCCATGTAAGTGGAAAGTGTTGTGGTGTAAGACTAGGTATAGATGAATCTAAGGCCATAGTAAGTGGTGTTGTCGGGGCTCACTTGTTCTCTCTCTCCTTACCTCATTCCCCCCATGTGTTGATTCTGTCTGTTTCTAGCTTCAGTCTATCCTCAGGCCTTTCCAAGTGGCAGTCAATATTGCTCCCTGTGGACTCAAACTTATATTCTGCCTAGCAACACCTTGAGATATCAGTCTCAAGGAAGACTCTGATTGGCTCTGTTTGGATCTTGAACCAATTATCCTGGTTTTGGGGATAGAGTATTCTAACTGGCCCTCCTCGGTCTCATGCCTACTCCTTAAATGGGGGTGGGGGAGACTGTGATTTACAGCCCCACCAAGACAACATGGAAAGGGGAAGAGTGGTTCTTCAAGGGCAGGGATGCGATGGAGACAAGGAGGGTGTGTCCAAAATGTCTAAATACAAGGCTGCCCCTTCCCCTCTCTGAGGGCAAGGGTCAGATGTTTGTTCAGCACGGAGGCCTGTACCCCCAGCACTGTGGTTAGCAAGTAACAACTATACAGTTAATAGGTATCCCATGGGGGCTCCTGGGTGGCTCAGTTGGTTAAGCATCTGACTCTTGATCTCAGCTCAGGTCACGATCTTAAAGTTCATGTGATCGAGCCCCATGTCAAGCTCTGTGCTGGCAGCGTGGAGCCTGCTTGGGATTCTGTCTCTGCCCCTCCCTCCTTCTCTCTCTCTCTCTCTTTCACACACACACACACACACACACACTCATTCCTTCTGAAAATAAATAAACTTTAAAAAATTAAAAACCTGATAGGCATGGAGGAGGGCACTTGTTGGGATGAGCACTGGGTGTTACATGGAAACCAACTTGACAATAAACTATGAAAGAAAAAAAATTAAAAAAGTGTATTAAATAGGGGTGCCTGGGTGGCTCAGTTGGTTAAGCATCTGACTTCAGCTCAGGTCATGATCTCACGGTTTGTAGGTTCGAGTCCCGCATCGGGCTCTGTGCTGACAGTTAGCTCGGAGCCTGTCGCCTGTCTTCAGATTCTGTGTCTCCCTCTCTGTCTGGCCCTCCCCTGCTCACACTGTCTTCCTGTCTCTCAGAAATAAATAAAACAAAATAAATAAATAAAAAAAATTGTTTTTAAAAATTCTATTAAATAGGTATCCATGAACAAATCTACTAACATCAAAAAATCAGTCCCCTTCAACAGATCCAAAATGGCTCTGCTTCCTGCTTATCATCTCTTCTCTAAACTCCCCTTTCTCCAGATTGAGAGATTGTGCTGTAAATTCTCACATACATTCAATATTTATTGGTATCTTTTGATCAAATTAAAGTCATTTGTGTTCATCACAGAAACATTGAAGATCTAAAGAAGAAATAACGCAGAAAATGGAAATCTCCCCATTATCCTGCTTATTGGTCAAAAAAGTTACTTTTATCTGATTTGATTTGATTTGAATTTAGAGAGAGTACAAGCGGGGGAGGGGTGCAGAGGGAGAGAGAGATAGGTAGATAGGGAGGGAGGGGGAGAGATCTTAAGCAGCCTCCATGTTCATCATGGAGGGCTCCATCCCACGACCCTGGGATCATGACTTGAGCCCAAATCAAGAGTCGGATCTTCAGCCGAATGAACCATCTTGATGCCCCTGCTTTTAACATTTTACCCCAAATCTTTACTTATTTTAAAATTACAAAAGTGTATAATAAAAGCATGAATAAACCAGACACAAAAGGAGACACATTGTATGAGTCAGCTTACATGGGCTGCCTAGAGTAGGCAAGATCATAGAGCCAGAGTGGAATGGTGGTTGGTGGGGGCTGGGGAAGGGGCACAGGAGTTAGTGTTTACTGGGTTCAGTGTGACAGTTTGGGAAGATGAAAAAGTTCCGGATAGTGGTGAGGGCGGCACGACAGTGTGAATGTGTATATGCAACTGGACCGTACGCCTATAAATGATTTAAATGTTTTATGTTGTATGTATTTTATCACAATCAAAAAATCAATGTAATAAATGAAAACCCTCCAGCCTACCACACACATGCATACACAGATTCACATGTACATAAACAACAAAACTCAATCCTATATTTATATTTATATTTATATTTATATTTATATATTGAGGCCACAACAAGAATCTGTCTCATGTCTTTTGAAACAGCAACATAAACTGTGAAACTGTCTTTTTCTTAAATTTTTATGTTTATTTGTTTTACTGAGAAAGCGAGAGACAGAGTGCAAGCAGGGGAGGGTTAGAGAGAGAGGGAGACACAGAATCCCAAGCAGGCCCCAGGCTCTGAGCTGTCGGCCAAGGGGCTCGAGCGAACCCACGAACCGCGAGATCACGACCTGAGCGGCAGTCGGACGCTTAACCGGCCGAGCCCGTCCCCCGCCCCCGAGGCGCCCCTGGAACGCGTAGAGCCGGTGCTACGCAATCCGCTTCCTTTGTCCCGACCTGGGCGCTCATCACGGTTTCTGTTTCTTCCAGACTTGGAGCCAAGCTCTGCACCCGCCCAGGAGGCACTGGTGAGAAAGAGCCTTTCGCAGGAGGCCGCTTCCGCCGCGGCAAAGGTGGAGGGGGTTTGGGGGGCGCTGCGCGGAGTCGCCGGAGGGGGGCGCCCCTGGCCGTGCAGCGGCCGCTCGGAGCGGGCGACGCCCCTGACGCGCCTGTCCGCTCCTCGCGAGGAAGCCGTCTGCGGGCAGAGAGGCGGCGGCCCCGAGCCCGCGCCGAGCCCCGGGCGGCCCCCGGCCCCCGTCGGGAGGCGCGGGGGGCCCGGCGGGGAGGGGGCCCCGAGCAGGCGCGGGCCCGGAAGGAGCCCGAGACGCCCCGGGACGTCGGCGGAGAAGGAGCCGTTTCGCTGCGCCGAGTGCGGCGAGGCCTTCGTGTCCCGCCCCGACTGCAGCCCGCGCCGCAGAGTCCACACCCGCGAGCGGCGCGCCCAGTGCGGCGGCTGCGGGAGGGCGCTCGCCCGCGGCCCCTCCGTCGTCCGGCACCGCGTGGTTCACACGCGCGAGAAGCCGCACGCGTGCGGCGCGTGCGGCAAGACCTTCACGCAGAGCTCCTCGCTCGCCGAGCACCGCAGGATCCACAGCGGGGAGAGGCCGTACCGCTGCGGGGAGTGCGGCAAGGCCTTCACGCAGAGCTCCTCGCTCCTCAAACACCGGCGGTGCCACACCGGGGAGAAGCCCTACGAGTGCGACCAGTGCGGCAAGTTCTACTCGCAGGTGTCGCACCTCACGCGCCACCGGAAGAGCCACTCGGGCGAGAGGCCCCACAGCTGCGGCGAGTGCGGCAAGGCCTTCTGTCACGCGTCGTCCCTGAGCCAGCACCAGGCGATCCACACCGGGGAGCGGCCCTACAGGTGCACCGAGTGCGGGAAGGCCTTCAGCCACAGCTCGTCCCTGTCGCAGCACCAGCGGGTCCACACGGGCGAGAAGCCCTACGAGTGTCGCGAGTGCGGCAAAGCCTTCGGCCACAGCTCCTCCCTGACGCAGCATCGGAGGATTCACACCGGCGAGAAGCCCTACGCGTGTCGCGAGTGTGGGAAGGCGTACACACAGATTTCCCACCTCATGAGGCACCAGAGCGTTCACGCGGGCGAGAAACCCTATGTGTGCAAGGAGTGCGGAAAGGCCTTCGGCCACACGTCGTCCTTCGCTCAACACCGCACGGTTCACACCGGTGAGAAGCCCTACAAGTGCTGCGAGTGCGGGAAGACGTTCGGCCAGAACTCCTCGCTGACGCGCCACCAGAGGACTCACACCGGGGAGAAGCCGTACGCGTGTGCGGCCTGCGGGAAGGCCTACACCCAGATCTCCCACCTCCTCCAACACCAGCGAGTTCACACTGGAGAGAAACCTTACGAGTGCGCGGAGTGTGGCAAAGCCTTCGGCCGCAGCACCCACCTTATCGAGCATCAGAAAATCCACACGGGCGAGAAGCCCTATCCGTGTAAAGAGTGTGGGAAGACATTCAGTCACAACTCGTCCCTCACTCAGCACCGGAGAGTCCACACTAGCGAGAAGCCCTACGCCTGTAACGAGTGCGGCAAGGCCTTCAGCCAGAGCGTCCACCTTGCTCAGCACCGGAGGATCCATACGGGAGAGAAGCCCTATGAATGTGACAGCTGTGGAAACGCCTACACCCAGATTGCACACCTGATTCAACACCAGAAGGTTCACGCGGGTGGCCGACGCTGTGTGCGCAGGGAGCGCGGGGAGGATTTCAGCTGCGGTTCACACCTGCCTCAACACCCGACGCCCCGCACAGTGCGCGACGCCTACGCCCGCGAGGATTTCGAGAAGGCAGTGGCTTGGAGCGCACAGCTGGCCGTTGATCAGAGGACGCCTGCTGACCAGGAAGCCTGAGAAGGGAAGCCGACTGTGGGCCTGCGGCCGGGTTCGGTTCAGCCTGCGTCCGCTCCGGTAACCCCCTCCTTCCCCGGAAGGAGCCCTCACCCCGAGTTGTGCGAGCTTTGGTTTCTCTATTTCCTACAAAGAGATGGCACCGGCCGGGACAGTTTCTGATCATTTTTGGAGCTTCCCTCTAAAATCTCAGCTTCCCTCTCCCATGTCTCAACCTTACAGTGTCCCCAAAGGAGGTGTAAATGGAATGTGACTTTATCTGATCTCTTTAATTTTCTTTTTAATGTTTATTCCTTTTTGAGAGCGAGGAAGAGAGAGAGCATGAGCAGGAGAGAAGCAGAGAGACAGGGAGACACAGAATCCGAAGCAGGCTCCAGGCTCTGAGCTGTCAGCACAGCTGGGGTTCAAACTCACAAACCATGAGATCACGACCTGAGCTGAAGTTGGATGCTTAAGGGACTGAGCCACCCAGGCACCCCTCCATCTGATATCTTTCATAAGGTCCCTTTGAACTTTTCAAATTTATCGATCATTCATTAAATTGGAGCCTGAAAATTCAAGGAGAAAAAAAACACACACAGCTGGAAAGATTAACCCTTTAGGGTACAAGCTGCATAACTAGCTGAATGTAAACACTAGATGATTTTAGTTTCCTTTGAAACTTTAAGCTACAAATTTCATGGCAAAATCCGCAGTTGGCTTAAATACTGAATACGTTTCACATGTTTACAACCATTTTAATTTTTCTATTTTTAAAAAATGTTTACTTTTGAGAGAGAGAGCATGTGTGCGTGAGCAGGGGAGGGACAGAGAGAGAGAGGGAGACACAGAATACGAAGCAGGCTCCAGGCTCTGAGCTGTCAGCACACAGAGCCGGATACGGGGCTCAAACTCCCTGAAACCGCGAGATCGTGACCTGAGCCAACATCAGACACCTAACCGACTGGGCCACCCAGGCGCCCTCGAATATCATTTTTTTAAATTTTTTATTTCTAGGAGAGAGAGAGAGAGAGAGAGAGAGCGTGAGCAGGGGAGGGTCAGAGAGAGAGGGAGATACAGACTCTGAAATAGGCTCCAAACTCTGAGCTAGCTGTCAGCACAGAGCCCCACGCGGGGCCCAAACCCACGAACCGCGAGATCATGACCTAAGCAAAAGTCGGACGCTTAACCGACTAAGCCACCCAGGCGCCGCTAATATCATTTTAAAGTAAATGTTATTTTATTTCATTGTGATCAGAGTGTAGGGACAATGTTGGCCTCTCTGATTTGTCCTTATACTATGAACACTGTCCTTTGTAACTACAGACACTTCATACTCCTCGTTATTTGGGCTAATATTTCATTGGCAGGTGTGAAATGATTTACAAATCCATTCCCCCTTGTAGGCTGTGTTCTAAGCCCCTGGCGGATGGGTTGTTCACCAGTTTCCCCAATTATGAATAGTGTTTTAATGAGCATTTCCATCCTTCCTTCCTCTCTCCAGAGGAGATTATTTCTCCACGTCATATTCCCGGATGGAAATAACAGGAACGAGATCCCAGTCATTTTCCTGATTACTGGAGTGTTTTGTCAAATTGCTTTCCAGATGGGCTGGACCTCGTCCGTCCGGCAAGCCGGGCGTGAGGACTGCATTTCCACCACACTTTTACGAGCACTGATCATAATTTTTTCCTATGTCAAACGTGTAAAGTGGTTACTGTTTTCAGTAACTTAACTGTGTGCCTAATTCTGTCCCAAGCACCTTGGTACATTATGAGTCCTCATTCCTCTAACAATCCCACCTGTTCAGGGCTGTATTATCCCATTTTATAGGTGAGGACACTGAGGCACAGGGAGATGAAGTAGCCAGAGCCTCACAGCTATAAGCTAATGGAGGACGGATTCAAGCCCACGTAGTCAGGCTCAGAAGCTATGCTGTGTCCTATTGGGATTGAGCACATTCCATATATATAACATTTCTTTCTTAAAATAATGTTTATTATTATAAAAATAAATACATGCTTCTTATAGGAAATTTAGAAGATCCGGAAAATCCAGATTTTATTCAAAGTTCAATGCTCCCCAGAGATAACTGTTAACATTTGGATATACTTCTGCTACTTTAAAAACTTTTTAATATCATATATACTTAAAATAAATCTGGGGTATACTGAATATACCATTTAGCATACTGCTTTTTTAAAAATCATTTTATTATTTTTAAATATAATTTATTGTCAAATTGCTTTCCATACAACACTCAGTGCTCATCCCAACAAGTGCCCTCCTCCATGCCCATCACCCCCCTTCCCCTCTCCTCCACCCCCATTAGCCCTCAGTTTGTTCTCTGTATTTAAGAGCCTCTTATGGTTTGCCTCCCTCCCTCTCTGATTGTAACTTTTCCCCCCCATCCACTCCCCCGTGGTCTTCTGTTAAGTTTCTCAAGATCCACATATCCGTGAAAACATATAGTATCTGTCCTTCTCTGCCTGACTTACTTCACTCAGCATAACACCCTCAAGTTCCATCCATGTTGCTGCAAATGGCCAGATTTTATTCTTTCTCATTGCCATGTAGTATTCCATTGTGTAGGTGAACCACATCTTCTTGATCCATTCATCAGTTGATGGACATTTAGGCTCTTTCCATGATTTGGCTATTGTTGAAAGTGCTGCTATGAACATTGGGGTACATGTGCCCCTATGCATCAGCACTCCTGTGTCCCTTGGGTAAATGCCTAGCAGTGCTATTCTGGGTCATAGGCTAGTTCTATTTTTAATTTTTTGAGGAACCTCCATACTGTTTTCCAGAGCAGCTCCATTTGGCATACTTCTAATTTATTTAACTTTATATCATGGGCCCCTGTCTTTAAATATCATGATTTACCCATGCCATCAAATAATCTTTAACAGCCAGATGTTGGGGGGAGGGGGGCGTTGCATAGTGTATGTTTATTCAGCCAGTGAATTGGCCAATCCCCTGTTGAACATTTTGGTTGTTCCTAGTTTTCGACTTTTATAAACATCCCATCTACTCAAGTCTTTGGCTGAGCACCTTCTAGTTTCCAAGTGAAATCCTGGCAGGGAGGTCATAGGTCAAAGAAAGAATGTTTCAAGGATCCCAGTCACGTGGACCAATGGCTTCCCAGAAGTTCTGCATCAGCTGGCATCCTGACTAGCGGCGGATGGGACTGCATCTGGCCAACATCATCCGTGGTAACTATTACCATGTTTAAAAGTCTTCCCATGTACTCCTTTTAATGTATGACTCCTTTCGTGGTTGAGGAAATACTTGTTTGTGGTGAATAATTCAGAGAACACAAAAACGAAAGCTATGGCTCTCTATAAATCTTCATTCCCAAGATTTAGCCACATAAAGATAGTATACAATTTGTATGGTATAACACACATATTTTTCTTAAAGATTTGTATGTTGTTTATGTCATCTCTACACCCAGTATGGGGCTTGAATCCACAACCCCGAGATCAAGAGTCGCATGCTCTACTGACTGAGCCAGCCAGGCGCCCCCACGCATATGATTTTAGAAGTGACTTTTTTCACTGTTTCACTTGGTATAATGACAATGCAAAAAAAACCTATATGTGTATATAAAACATATATATGTATCCTCATTTTTAACAACTGCATAATACTTCCTACTAGGGTTTCTTGAATTTATTTAACCAATCCCTATTGATTGACACTGAGATTATTTTTATTTTCTTTTCCATCACTGGACATTTACTATTTGACACTTGTGCAAAATATCTCCATAAGATGAATTCCTAGAAATAAACTTGTGGGACCATAGAATGTCCACGTTTAAAATTTTGATAATTATTGCTAAATAATCCTTCAAACAAGGATGAGCCAGTTCCCAGGACTCTTGGAAGGGTATACAAATGCCTGTTTCCCCGTTCCCCCACTTTCTTCAAAACTTACTCAGTATTAGCCTTTTAAAAATGTTCCTAATCTAAGAAGTAAATATGTCCTCTCAATAGTGAGATTAATGATCTTTTATGTGTTTGTTGGCGTTTGGTCTTTGAACTGCTTTTTTCTGTACTTTGCCCACTTTTAATTGGGCTGCCTTTTTGTATGGATCTATAGGAGCACATCTTTATGTATTACACACATTCACCTGGCATATATGTTACTAATATCTTCTCCCCGTTTGTTATTGCTCTTTCAATTGTGTTTGTGATGTATTTTGCTATATAGAATTCAAAATTTTTTAGGTATTCAAATCTATTTGTATTTTCTTTTCTAGTTCTTCGGCCTACTATCATTCTAAGAAAGGCCTTCCTGACCTCCAAAATTATGATAAAGATTATCCTATATATTCTAGTACTTTTATGACTTTTAGACAATTAGATTTTTATTCTATCTGAATTTTTACTTTTATTAATATTTATTTATTTATTTTTAATTTAAATGTTTTATTTATTTTAGAGAGAGAGATGGAGACAGCATGAACAGGGTAAGGTCAGAGAGAGAGGGAGACAGAATCTGAAGACAGGCTCCAGGCTCAGAGCTGAGTCTCTCTGTCAGCACAGAGCCCGATGCAGGGCTCGAACCCACGAACTATAAGTCATGACCTGAGTTGAAGTCGGATGCTTTACCTACTGAGCCACCCAGGTGCCCCAATGTTTATTTATTTTTATTTTTGAAAGAGAGTGCACAAGTGGGGGAGGTGTGGGTGGCAGGGGACAGAAGATCTGAAATGGGCTCCATGGTGACAACAGAGAACTGAATGTGGGGCTCGAACTCACCAACGATGAGATCATGACCTGAGCCAAAGTCGGACACTCAACAGACTGAGCCACCCAGGTGCCCCTCCCTCTGCATTTTTAAACATGCCTTACGGTATGAATTTTCAGTTTCTAGAGGCCACCTGCATTCCTTGGCTTGTGGCCCCCTCTATGTTCAAAGCCAGCAGGGTAGCATCTTTAAGCCCCTCCTCCTAATATATTCCACCATGTAGTATGTACCTTTCCTAGCACATTTAGCCCACTCCCTTCACAAAGTCTCACCCCCACCCCTGTATTAACATGCTAATGTAGAATACTTGTATTTTTAGTCTAAAAGCAGCTAATTTTCAGGCGCTTGTGTGGCCCAGTCAGTTAAGCGTCCAACTTTGGCTCAGGTCATGATCTCACAGTTCATGAGATCGAGCCCCATATTGGGCTTTGTGCTGACAGCTCAGAGCCTGGAGCCTGCTTCGGATCCTGTGTCTCCCTCTCTCTCTGCCCCTCCCCTACTCGTGTTCTGTCTCTGTGTCTCTCAAAAATAAAAACAAAATATAAGAAAGAAAGAAGCTAATTTTTATTCTTGTCTTTGCCACTGTCTTGTTTACTTATTTTTAAAAAATGAGAATAGTTTAAGACTATATTACCAAGGATACTTTGGGTTTCAAGGAACAGAAAACTCAAAAATAGCTCAAACTACAGAGATAATGTACTTACTCAAGTAGCCAAAAGGACCCAAAGCAAAGCGTTCATCCTGTTTCTCCTGGTACTTCAGGATGCCTTCAACAGCAAGGACAAGAAAACCCCAACTCAGATGGTCATGAACACTAGAAAGAAGAAATCTACAGGTAGGACAACCCCCAGCTGCTATATGTGAATACAGTAAAGCCTTGGATTGTGAGTAAATGTGGTCCGCGAGTGTCCCGCAAGACAAGCAAACGTTTCCAATCAATTTTAACTCGATAAACGAGCGATGCCTTGCAATACAAGTAGTAGGTGACGCCCAATGTCACCTGATCACAACTGAGCCAACGGTTCTTAGATTTGCTCTGCTATAGAAGTGCTTTGGGTGTCAAGCATGTTTCTGGAATGAACTATGCCTGCACACCAAGGTTTTGCTGTATATCTTTCCAATGCACTTGAGATTTATGTGCATTTTATTGCACATTTATGGTCTCAAGCTATTATATTTCCTGATCAGAGTTGCTCTTTTGTTTCTGTCTCAGCCCCCCTCGCCTGTTCATAGCATGTATCATAATTTCTTCTGATAGGTCTCCTGTCTACTGCTTGCCCCTAACACCCTGATGGCGAGGTCCATGCGTGTCTTTCACCGCTGTGTCCCCAGCACCCGGAGCACTGCGTACAACATAGTAGGTTCTCAGGCTCACCCTATTCCCGGTATGATCTCATCTCAATCCTTTATTAATTCTTTCCAAATAAGGTCACATTGTGTTTCCAGATGAGCGTGAGTTCTGGGCAGTGTTTAACCCACTACCGTCCACGCCTAGCAGCTCTAGGTGGCTGCACCAGCAATTGCTCCATGGATTTTTTTTTTTTTTTCAGAGAGGAAGGGGGAGGGGCAGAAGGAGAGGGGGAGAATCTCAAGCAGGCTGCACGCCCAGCACAGAGCCCAACCTGGGGCTTGATCTCAAAACCATGAGACCATCTCCCAAGCAGAAATCAAGAGTCAGATGCTTTTTTTAAAAATGTTTTATTTATTGGGGTGCCTGGGTGGCTAAGTCGGGTGAGTGTCTGACTTCAGCTCAGGTCATGATCTCACTGTTCATGAGTTTGAGCCCCATGTTGGGCTTGATGCTGTCAGCACAAAGCCTGCTTTGGATCTTCTTCCCCTCTCTCTGCCCCTTTCCTGCTCTCAAAAATAAATTTTAAAACATTAAAAAATAAATGTTTTATTCACTTTGAGAAAGACAATCTTAAGCAGGCCCCACACTGTCAGTGCAGAGCCCTACATGGGGCTCGACCCCACAAACTGTAGGACTATGATCTGAGCTGTAATCAAGTCATATACTTAACCACTGAGCCACCCAGATGCCCTTTAGCAGAGGTTCTGAGATTCACTGTGCTTGGCCCAGCTTAGGTGGTGCCCATTTCTAATCAATCACAATGGTCGGGGAAGGGAACGGCTGATTGCCCAAACTAGGCCGTATATTCTTTGCGTAGAACTGGGCACGGAATATAGCGGGCACAGAACTACATGCGTCGCCAAGAGAGGGCAGGGCTGTTGGGGAGGTGAAGTGGGGGGGGGGGTCTCAGAAAGGTGAGTGATAGGCGTTCACTGTAACCAGCGGTGCCAACAGCTTTCACCTTGTACCCCAGTGTCCATGAGGTGCATGGGAGATTGGTCATTTGGGTCATGGTGGGATATGGTGGAAGCCACTTCCTTCAGGAGTACTGCTCTTCCCAGCCCCCGGGGGAGTCCCCCTGGCAGGGAGCACCACAAGATTTCTGTCGGCTGCTCCGAGCAGCCATCAACCCAGCCTGGGATATTGTCCAAGGGCTTCCTGCTTGTCTCAAGGGAGCATGGAAAGCTCCTCTCAAAGAGAGGTTCGCAAGCTGTTCAGTAGTGCCCTGGGGCTGGGGCAGTAGTGGGGGTGGGGCTGTTCCTCATACCCCTTCGGTCAGGCACATCCACTTTCATCTTTTTTAATGTGTATTTATTTTTAAGGGGAGGGGCAGAGAGACAGGGAGATACAGAATTCGGAGCAGGCTCCAGGCTCTGAGCTGTCAACACAGTCGGATATGGGGCTCGAACTCACAAAATGTTGAGACCATGACCTGAGCCGAAGTCAGATGCTTAACCGACTGAGCCACCCAGACACTCCCACTTTCATCTTTTTTATACAGTGGGTTCCTAGGTCGTTTTCTTAGAGCAGGATCTACCCAACATTAGGCATCCGTGTACTGCCCCCTGCCTGGGTTCACAGAGTGGCCCCCTTCTGCCCGAGATGCCAGCTGCCTGTGCCAGGACCCTCCCAACCCACTTCATTCAATCGACACCCTTAAACCTTTCAACCACGACCGTGAGTGGACAGCCAGTCTCACTTGCCATGAATAGAAGTTTGCTAGAAGTAAAATGCAGCGGAAACTTGCATTGTCTACCCCAAGTGCAGAGGCGGAGTCCTGCTCCGCCTGAGATGGGAAGATGCAAGGTGTTAAGGGTGTTTCCTCACTCAGGTGACCAGAAGGATATTCAATTATATGCCACTGTCAATTCCTTGCCATAAACGTGTGCCGTACATGTCCCTTTAAGTCAGCTCCTTTTTGACTTAGGTAACTTTTTAGTGTATTTTTTTAGTAACCCCTACACCTAACATGGGGCTTGAACTCACAGCCCGGAGATTGAGTTGTATGCTCTTCCAACAGAGCCAGCCAGGCACCCCAAATCAATTTATTTCTAAAGAGGACTTTCTACGACTGCCATTGAGCGGGAAACTAGCACCTGTCATTACAGAAAGGGTGGGATGAGGGACTAAAATAAAGACCAAGGGAGGAAAGTGACACTAATTTCTAGCTCCAGTGACTGTCTGAGCTTGAGGACTGCTGTGTTTCTGTAACTAGAGAGAATGACAGGCTGTCGTGCTGCCTCCCCGGTCAGGGTCGCTGAGAACGAACACTAGGATGAAGTGTTGTCTGATGATGTAACTGAGACCGGCCGAAATCTTATGGTTCCCTGGTGCTCTGTGCCCCACCAGCGCTTCGGGAAAACAGACACAACAGTCCCTCCTCACGGGGCAGCTTTTACCATTATAAGCCCTCCTCTTCTACTTGGCAGGAACAGGGCCCTCTGCGTGCCCAACATCTGGCCAGGTACGCAGCACCAGGCCGAAGAAAGCCACCGACACATACCAACTCAAAAACTTTAATCAGCAAACCAACACATACACACGAGTCATCCCTCCGCCAGCCCACAGCACACAGGTCAGTGGTTACAGAGCCCGCCCACCGTGGCTGCCGATTTCCCACAGGACGTCTGACCCCCATCTTTGGTGTCAAAACTCTCGTTGAACAAACTTATCTGTTTGGGTTCCTGCCTCTGGCCTGCCCTGTGGTACAGAACAGGCCTGTCGCCCAGATGACACAGCGATCTGACGGCAGGGACCGTGCAGGGAGTTCAGTGTTTTGGCCCTTTGAAAACCAATATGCTCTGTGCTGTGGTGTGGGCCCAGAGGCGAGCCTGTGAGTTCCCAGTTTCAACAACAAAACCAACCAGCAGAGCTCAAAATGCAAGGATTTTTGTTTCTTGGTTTTTGTTTTTTTTTTTGAGAGAGAGGGAGTGGGCACAAGTGAGCAAGGGGTTGGGGGTGGGGGGTGAGATGCTGGGCTCCCCCAAAGTGGGGCATGAGCTCACCTGATAATGAGACTCAAACCCACGAACCGTGAGATCATGACCTGAGCCGAAGCCAGACGCTTAACCGACTGAGCCACCCAGACACCCAAGTTTCAAGGTTGAAAAGGCTCAAGAACTCAGAGCACATACTCCTAAACTTCTTTAGCACCAAAACTATGAATGGTATCAAAAGTGTCAGTGTCTTCAGAAAGTTCTCTTTGTGCTTCAGCAGACATGTGACCAGGCCACTCGGTGGGACACAAAAAGCCAGAGCTGAGGAGGTGCCGTCAATAGGGCACATGGTTGTGCCCGGTGTCTTAGCTGGAGAACAGGCCTGGCCGACGCTGAGCAGCTGGCTTGCGGGTGCCAGCAGGGAGGACGGGGCCTCCCCGGGCTCTCCAGCAACGCTTCACGGTCCCAGAACTTGCTGTGACAGGAGGGAATGTGGCATTTTAAGATGTCACTTGTCAACGAACGGTGGTTCTCTGTGGAAATGGGGCCATCCGCTTCCCTTTGATTCCAGAAGTTTCACAGCCAGGCCAGGGCTTGCTGCATACTGGGCACTCCCACCACACACTAGGTCTCATACCACAGAACCAACTTTAAACGGGGAAGAAAATTACAAGAAGAGGTGATATGTTATGTGGAGAGCGTCCCTTGAGTGAGGTTCTAGAGTCAGGAGAGCAAAGTTCTAGCTATTTGGTGTTAGTTTACATACTCTTCTTGGCTTCTGTGGGTTAGTTAAGAAAATACTGCAACAGAGAAGAGGGAAGGGAAAGTTAGACTTAACATTTTTTTTAAATGATTATTTTTGAGAGAGTCAGAGTGCAAGCAGGGGAGGGGCAGAGAGAGTGAGCACAGAATCTGAAGCAGGCTCCAGGCTCTGAGCTGTCAGCAGAAATGCCAACATGAGACTCAAATCCATGAACTGGAGATCATAACCTGAGCCAAAGTCAGATGCCCAACCAACCGAGCCACCTAGGCACCACCCCCACCCCCGCCTTTTATTTTTTCAAAGAGTAAGGTGCTGTGTTTTGGAGACTAAACTTAGCCAGAGGCATTTTGGAGAAAAACTCAAAATGAAAGCTGTGCATAGTATTAGTAAGAACATTAACTGTAGTAAATAGAGGATTGCTAACTCTTCCCTCCCTTTTTTAACCTATTGGTTGTATGTCATGAGGACTTGTAGCTCACATCTGGTGAGTACTTACTATGTGCTGGACACTCAGTTCTAAGTGTATCTTCACATCTATTTATCTTCACAACAGCCTTCTGAGGTAGCTAACTATATTGTGCTCCTTTACAGATGAGCACACTGAGGCCCTAGGAAGTCCCAGGGCTCTCCCCGGATCACTCAGGTAGCACATGGCAGAGCTGGGATTTAACCCAGCTGACTGGCTCAAGTCTACCACTGAATTGTCATTCTACACAGCCTCTCAATTACTGTGTTTTCATGAAACTCAGGTGTGCAAATTTTCTAATTGTTCCTTATTAATAAATAGATGTATTTATTTGGTGGGGAAGGAGCTTACAGTGTGAGTTTCAGCTTTAGGGCTCAGATGAATGTGTTTAGATGTCTGGAACCCTATTGCTGCTGCTGGGACCCTGTAGCATTGCTACTTGTTGCTTATTGCTAAGTAACTCCTTGTTACCATCAAGTATGAACTTGCTGATGTCTACGGAGACCTGCAGCAGAGGGCTTTCTGACAATACCGACATTGCTACATTTTCTCTTGGGTGTGAACCCTCTGGTGCTGATTGAGATGGGTGCTGAGGCCAAAAGCTTTTCCACACACCCTGCAGGCATAAGGCTTCTCCCCAGTGTGAACTCTCTCATGCTGCATCAGATTTGCTTTCTGGGAAAAGGCTTTCCCACATTCAGCACACACATAAGGCTTTTCCCCAGTGTGGATTCTCCGATGAACAGAAAGGCATGAGCTCTGGCTAAAGGCCTTCCCGCATTCCGAACAAACATAAGGCTTTTCTCCAGTGTGAACTCGCTGGTGAACAGAAAGGCACGAGTTCTGGCTGAAGGCTTTCCCACATTTCTGACAAACATAAGGCTTTTCCCTGGTGTGAACTCTCCGGTGTTGAAGAAGTTGAGCACCCAGGCTGAAGGTTTTCTCACAGTCACTGCATTTGTGGGGTTTCTCACCTGTGTGATCTCTCTGCTGCTCTGAAAGACATGAATTCGGATGGAATGATTTTCTGCATTCATCACACTCAAAGGACTTCTTTCCAGCAGGAGTTCTCTGATGCTGAGTGAGGCAGTTACTTTGGGGAAAGGCTTTGTCACACTTGCTACATTTAAAGAGTTTCTTCTCCTCGGTGTGAGTTAACTGATGTTCTGAGAGGTGTGCACTTTGGCTGAAGGTCTGTCCACAGTCACTACATGTAAAGGTGTGCTCACTCTTGTGGGTGGACTGATGTTTTGTGAAGGAAGTGCTGCGGATGAAGGTCTTCCCACAGTCCCCACATTCATACGGCCTTGCTCGAGAGTGGATGTTCTGGTGGCGAAGGAGCTGTGTACTTTTGCTAAAGGCTTTTCCACACTGGTCACACTCAAAGGGCTTCACTCTGGTGTGAACCCTCTCGTGCTGAGTCAGATATTTGCTGCAGCTGAAGGTTTTCTCGCATTTGTTACACTTAAAGTGCTTCTTGTCAATCCCTGAATGTTCTCTCCGTCCTGAGTCCTGATCCAAGATACTCCCGCTCTCATCAAGTCCTTGTTTTTCTCTGGTGTGAACGCTCTGGTGGCATGCTAGAGTCGAGCTGCAGAAGAAGCGCTCGCCACATTCCTGACACTCATGGAGGGTCTCCATAGCATGCATCTTCTGGTGTTGGACAAGGTATTCATGATGGGTGAAGGTTTTCTTGCATCTGTCACAGCAGTAGGACATTCCTGTGGTATGAACAGACTGGTGTCGAATCAGGTGGGAGGGCCGGCTGAAACTCTTGATGCATTGATGACACTTATAGGGCCTGTAGCCAGTGTGAATCCTCTGATGTTCATTAAGGTGAGTGCTCCGGTAGAAGGCTTTCCCACACTCATTGCATTTGTAAGGTTTCTCTCCACTGTGAACCCTCTGGTGGACCTTCAGGGTTGAGATATTCCTGAAGAGCCTCCCGCACTGGTCACACTCGTAAGGCTTTTCTCCAGTGTGAATAGACTGGTGTTCGACGAGCAGCAAGCTCTGCTCGATGCCCTTCCCACATTCCTGACTCTCGGAGGTAGTTTCCGTAGCATGGGTCTCCTGATGTTGGAGAAGGTATTTGATCAAGTTGAAGGTCGCCTTGCATTTGGCACATTCATAGTGTTTCTCAGTGTGGGTCTTCTGATGCTGAGTGAGATGAGAGGTTTGGCTGAAACCCTGGCCACCCTCATTACATTTGTAGGACTGATCACCTGTCTGGGGTTTCTGGTCCTCAGGAGGCTGTACGCCGAGATCTGATGGAGGGTCACTGTCTTGATTCTTACATGGTTCTTCTCCAGGGTGAATTTTTGGATCCCACAGCTGTGTGTTCTCACTGCAGGCTTCCCCGCACTCGTCATGTGGGCAGGTTTTGTAGCCCGTGTCAGTCGTCAGGGGCACAAAGGGGCAAGACATTTGGCTGAAACCTTCCTCATACTCTTCATGCACAGCGGGTTTCTCCCGAGTATGAATGATCCAGTGCTGGATAAGATGGTAACTCTGACTGAAGCTCTTCTCACATTCACTACATTTATACAGTTTCTTGCCTCCCGGGACAGGATTCTGCTGGCTCTGGTCTAAGTCACAGCCAAAGTCTGTCCCATGTTCCTGAGACTCAGCTGGTGCTGGGCTCTTTTCAGGAAGATCAAGCATCACAGAATCCTCTCCCACAGAAAGGAGTGACTCGGGACCGAGGTCTCTCTGGAGTTGGGGACTTCTGCATTCTGTGAGACTTTCCTTGTTGGCAACAACGTCAGACTTCTGAAGACTTTCTGGATCTCCCAGCAAACTATCTAACCAAGTCTCACCAACACAGGCCTTCCCCAGACTGGAGTTCCAGAGGCCATCCTTGGACAATGTCTCCATGATCTCCTGGGAGAGTCCTTCTTCCAAGAAGTCTTGTGCCAGAGGACAGTTCTTGACTTCAGCCACGTCTGAGAGAGGGAAAGTGCAGATGTCTCCTGTCCTCCCGGGTGAACAGTAAGGAGCTGCAGGGTGAGAACACAGACAAGAGGGAGAACGGGTGATGGCTCCTTGGTAAGCCCGTCCCTCAAGGGGGTGATGAAGAAGGGGCCAAAGTGGTGACCCGGCTAGGACTGGCATCACAGGAAACAGAGAGCCCATTTCCAAGATGGTTAAGTGGAGAGCTGGGCAGCCGCAGGGGCTCCATAGGGAAGGGGAGCCTCTTAGATACTCTCTACCATGACCCCCATTGGCTATGGCCCACTTTTTGGAGAAGGACGCTGTTCAACAGGGAAGGAGATATAAATGATATTAATGCAGTACAATTATAACTGCTGGGGAACGGATTTGGTTGGTAAAGGTGTGGCTACATGTGTCTGGAAACAACCTATGCTTTTTTTTAATGTTTGTTTACTTATTTTGAGACAGAACGAGAGCGTGAGTGAGCGGGGGAGGGACAGAGAGGGAGAGAGAGAATCCCAAACAGGCTCTATGCTGTCAGCACAGAGCCCAATGTGGGGCTCGAACTCACAAACTGTGAGATCATAACCAAAACCAAGAGTCGATGCTTAACTGACTGCTTGACCGGGCACCCAGGTGCCCCCATATATTGTTGAGGTGGCAGGAGTCCATGCTGGTCACCTACGCACACACACCAGGGTGCTCACCAGGCTACAGAGGGTCCATGTTCGCCAGCTCATGAGAGGCGAGCCTAGAACGCAGCTACACCATGACTGGGTGGGTGGTGGAGGCCCGGACTGAGCCACGCAGCCACCACACTGTGGTCTCTGATTCAGGGGCCCGTCTCATGTTAACGATGTAACCATGAGAAAAGTCACCCGCACCCCAGGCAAGGCCCCTGTCTTTGCCTTTTCCCGCTGGGGACATGTCAACTAGTGTGACACCCTCCCTGCCTCACCTGTCCCCTCTGGAGGAACCGCGGCCTAGACAAGAGCAGAACAAATGCTCTTGGCTGCAGCAGGCCTGGGCTTGAGTTATTAGCAGAGGCAGCCCTGGGCTGTGCCCTCTGGGGCAGACTTGTGCAGACAGGGGCGAAACAGACTGGGGGTGTGCGGTGCTCAGCGGGCACAGGGCAGGAAGGTGGAGACACGGACTCGGCATGAAGGCCACCTCCTGCTAAGTCTGGAAGGACCGAAAAGAGGACAGAGGAAGGGCACCAGGACAGCCACGTGCTGAACACAGAGGTAGGCAGACACGAGACAAGGGTTCTCACCCCTGCCGGGACGGGGGACAGAAGCCAGCACGCGGCAGAGTGAAGTGCATTAGTCCAGGGTCAAGACGTCTGGATGTTTGGGGTCCAAACAGAAGTTCCAAAGATGGAGGGCAGACAAAGGGCCATGTCCCACCAGCCCCTGCCCCCTCCCAGCCCACTCACCAAGGCCCTCCGATTCTGGGCTTTCCCTGGCCACGGCCTCCAGCTCTTCGCCGCCATCTGGACAGGTCAGTTTGGGTTTGCAGGGGTCTGCAGGGAAAGAAGAGCGCTGTCATCAGCCGGGACACAAAGGGCCAGGGCTGCTCAGTGGGAACCTTCTGGCTCTCCTGACGATTCAGTGCTTTATCCAGCGTACAGCTCCTGAGGGCCAAGTGCCACTCCGGGTGACTCCGGGGACGCCTTCCCTGTAGGGTTCCCAGTCCAGTGGAGGAGAGGGACCGTCGTCACAATCCAGGGTGATAAGAGCTGTGAAAGCCAGGGCTGGGGATACAAAGGACTTGCAACAGCTCTTGAGGGAAGGGCAGTCTGCCAGGTGGAGAAGCACGTACTGACTCATACAGCCATGGAGCCCGAGGCCTCGGTGGAACATGCTGGGTTTCCAGACCCTGGACATGCCTGCGCTCTGCCCTCGGCAAACTGCTCAAGGAAGGGAGCAGAGCCCTAATCCCAGCGGGGACATGCTACAGTGGAGGAAAAGCACCTTCTGGCTTGAAAATGAAAGGGCCGCGAGCCAAGCGATGCAGGCGCTTCTAGACGCCGAGAAAGAGCAAAGGCACAAGAGCCTCCGGACAGAACGAGCCCTGCAACGGCCCGACTGCAGCCCGCTCACACCCGTTTCAAACTCCTGACCTCCAGAACCGTCGGTGAGCAAACGTGTTGTTTTACGCTGCCGTCTGTGGCATCTGTCAGAGCAGCCCCAGGAAGCTGATACGGCATGTGGATAGACACACGAGTGTGTGCAGGGTTCAAGGGAGTTGTGCGTTTACCGTGGGGTGTCATTTAGAGAAAGGATGCTGAGGTCCAAGCCACCCGAAGCTGCTTCTGCAGCACACGCTCAGTAGAGCTTAGAAAGACTGCGAGGCTGTCCCTGGGCCGCTCTCTGGAACCCTGGATCTCAGGAGGGTTCTGGCATGCCCGAACCAGTACTAGGGGCCCCCTGTGCCTCAACTGTCATGCTGAACACCCACTGTCCGGCTGGGAGCCTAGAATTTTGGTACATTCCAGGCAGAGGGCGCCTGTGTGACCAGCTCCCAATAAGAGCTGCAGGCGCTGAGTCTCCAGTGAGCGCCCCCAGCAGACATTTCACATGACTCGCGCCCCCACTGCGCACCCTGTGGGACCGCAGCCAGAGGGAGGGCTCTGGTCTCCCCTTTGCCGCCCGTGTCGTGTCCTTTCTCTGGAGGACGTCATGGACGTGAGTACGACTACATGCTGACTCCTGCAAGTCCCCTCCTCCTAAGTCACTGAACACAGGGGGCCTCTGGGAACCCCCGCGCAGCTGGGAAGGTGACTCCCCCTCTTGGACCTCGATTTCAAAGGGACCGTCAAAACAGGGAGTCGGACTTGTGGGGTGACTGCAAGACTGAAGGCCAGTCCTCAGTGCTGACGCAGCGTGATACCCGGCAACTCCTGCTCCTCGTTCCTTTACTGAGCCACTGTTCAGTAAGTCCCCGTGGCAGGAGCCGTTAGTCCTAAACACCGGGGACACACCAGCGATTCGCACCAGTGGAGAGTCCCCGCCCTCAGGAAGCGGCCCGTCCCAGCAGAGGGAGGCAGAGCATAAAGTGGGCAGTTAGAACGCGCAGGAGTGCTGGGTTGGCGGAGTGGGGGAGGAGGACTTGGGAACAGGTCGCAGAAGAAGTCTTAAAAAAGGGAAGGCTGGAGGCAGGAAGGCAAATGCAGAGACCCTGAGTGTCAGCCCCGCAAGGACGAAGGGAAAAGTGCTGACGGGGACAGAGCGGCAGGCGGTGTGGCTGATGGGCTTTCTCAACCTCAGCACTGGTGACATTTGGGGTCAGATAATCCCCGGCTGTAGAGGCTGCCCTTGCATCCAGGATACGCAGCGGCGACCCTGGGCTCTACCCATTAGATGCCAGGTCCACACCCCTGCTCCCAGGTGCGGACAATGAAAAAGGTCACCAGGCATTGCCAGTGGCCCGGGGGGGGGGGGGACAGAACTGGCCAGCGGAGCCCTGCTGGGCTACATTATGCCAGCTCTGAGGCACTAGGGAGCCGAGAATTTATCCTGTGGGTCAGAGGGGCCAAAGAGCAGAGCAGGGACTGGGCCCCGGGGCTGGAGCGGACACTCACTCAGCAGGAAAAGGTTCTGGTAGTTGTCCAGCGCCGTGTCCCAGAACAGGTCCCCCTGGTCCAGCCCCAGCTGCTCCCAGTCCTCCAAGGTGAAGTCCATGGCTACATCCCTGTGGGTCACAAATTCCCGCAATATAGCACACTGTTGGTAACCATGGGCCTGGGGTCAGGGATGGACCCAGTAGCTTACTTGGTGCACCGTGCCCTCCATGTATGAGGCCTTTGACAAAAATCATCTCCTGGGAGCCCTGAGATGACACCGGGGATCACCATGTTTTGTAGGCAAGATACACGGCGTCTTGGAGAGGGGGACAGGAGTTCCCCTTAGGGTCACACAGGCAGGACTTCAATGCACATTGGCCTGTCCCTAAAATCTGCTTACTTGGGCCTTTGCTTTTTAGTGTTCATTCAAGACTTTTTAAATTTTTACTATGGAAATTTTCACACACACAGTGGAGATCTGCACGTGACAGACCACCATGTGCCCATCACCTCACTTCTGTCCCTGTTAACACTGGTCTGGTTAGGGGGCACCTGTGGCGCTCAGTCGGTTAAGTGTCCAACTCTTGATCTCGGCTCAGACATGATCTCATGGTTCGTGGGTTCAAGCTCTGTATCAGGCTCTGCGCTGATGGCCCAGGGCTTGCTTGGGATTCTCTCTCCCCCTCTGCCCCTCCCCGGCTCACGCTTTCCCTCATCTCAAAATTAAATAAACTTAAAAAAAATTGGTCTGTTTCGTTCATTAAACCTCTTCCCCACCTGTTTTTTTTTTTTTTTTAGAAGGGGGAGGGGTTGGGAGGGAATATTTCAAAATTACTCCTAGGCAGTATCTGATTTCACCTGTGAAAACTTCAGGATTAATGGTATAACTCCTTAATGTCACTGAATGCCAGGACGATATGCAAAGTCTGGATGCAGATTCGTCTGACATATCAATGGTGGTTTTTCCCCCCACTGTTTTTTTTTAATTGTAAAAAAAAAGGCCACTTCATCCAGTGGCACTAAACATACTCACACTGTTGTACAGCCAATACCACCATCTGCTTCCAGAACTCAGTCCATCCTGCAGAACTGAAACTCTGTCCCCACCAAACGCCACCTCCCGGCTCCCCGCCGACCCCAGCCCCACACCAGCTTCTGCTTTCTGTCTCCACAGTTTGCCTGCTCTAGGCTCAGCGGTATGTCTTGCCGGCTGGCTTGTCTGGATCAGAACCCACGAGGCCCACGCCCCGCACGGAGCTGCCGTGACCGCGAAGGGTTTTAGTCCCCAGCCATACCCTCCTGCCCTCCTTATTCCCCCACGGTCCTGCCTGCAGCTCCCACGTCGGAGATGTGGCGAATGCTTCCTGTCGCTGTGTCCTGGCTGCTCCTCTGCCCACCGCATCTTCTGGACACTGCTTGGTAAGCAGCGGCTTAGACGCAGTACGACTTCCGGGTGAGGAGGGGGAGGGCAGGAGCCCTCACAGGTGGTGCCGGGTCCACTCTGGGCTGTACGACTGCCTGAGGCGTCTGTGTGTCTTCTCGATGCCATCTTCCTTTCTCTCTCTCTTCTTATTAAGTAGGCTTCACGCCCGGGGGTGTGACTGGGTGGCTCAGTCAGTTAAGCGTCCTACTTCAGCTCAGGTCATGATCTCATGGTTCCTGAGTTCGAGCCCCACATTGGGCTCTCTGTGCAGAACCTACTTCGGATCCTCTGTCCCCTCTCTCTGCCTCTCCCCACTTGCACGCTTGCATACTCTCTCAACAATAAGTAAACAGTTAAAAAAAAAAAAAAGTTGGCTCCACGCCCAGTGCAGAGCCCAACTCAGAAGAACCCTGAGATCAAGAGCAGGATACTTAACCCACTGAGCGACCTAGGCAGCAGGTGGCGGCTGAGCACAGTTCACCACCAGGCCAGGACGGGAGTTTTGGTTATGCGGGGGAACCGGAGGGGAGGCTGTGGAAGGCGGCAGGACTCAGGTCCTGCAGGGCGGGGCTGAGAAACCTGGATTTTACTTTCTAAGCAGGAAGGACTCCCAGAAGGGTGCTGAGCAGGAGAGCGACAATATAAGAGGATCACGGGGGGGGGGGGGGGGTGGTCACCATAGGACAGTGAGCCCTGAATAAAGGCAGGCCAGCCATGCAGCCTCAGGGCGTGACTGATCAGGACGAGGGGTCCTCAACTCACCTTGGTGGCAGCCAACTGGAACTCAGCGGGACTCAGTGGCCGGGGTTCTCACTTAGGATCCCTCTCCTTCCCCTCCACATTCCCGGCTGGCAGAGCTGCAGGAGAGACAAGGGAGCCGGGAGGAAGACTCCCTTCCTTCTAGGGCTGGCTCCCTGGCCATGCTGGATGAGCCCCCAGAATGTCCGGCAGCAGGAGGATCGGTCAGAATGGGAGTCTCCCTGCGGGAATCACAACAACACTTCTGTGCTGACTGAGACTTACTCCAAGCCCCTCATTTCCACTGTGCTTCACAGCCCACGGGTATTACAGTCAGTAAATACACGGTTGGGAGAGGTGGCGACTAAGGTCTGTCACCTTGGCGGGACCTTCGGTCTTGCTCACTGCTGGGTCTCAGCACAGCACGACCTGACGTGCAGCAGGCAGTTTTTAAACGTTTGTTGACAGACATAATGTCTCTCGAACCGGACCCCTGGGATGAGGAATCTGGGATTTCTTTTTAATGTTTATTTTGGAGAGACAGAAAGACAAAGAGAAGGAGACCCAGAATATGAAGCAGGCTCCAGGCTTTGAGCCATCAGCACAGAGCCCGATGTGCGGCTGGAACTCATGAATCGTGAGATCGGGACCTGAGCCAAAATTGGACGCCTAACTGACTGAGCTCCCCAGGCACCCCGAGATTCTGGGATTTCTATTACTGCCTCTAGGATTTGAGTCCAGGTGAGTTGGCCTCCAAAACTTTTACTATTTTTCCTACAGTAGCAAGATTTCTCCAACCCTTTTTTTTTAAACCATGACCCACAGTAACAAAGACATATACCATTACTGTTCATTCACACGCGTAACGAGAACAAAACCTTCATGAAACAACACTGAATCTTACCAAGTAGAATGTACTGGGATCTTTTCTATTCTAGTCTCTTTCATTTTACTTCACTAAAAAATATATATATATGGCCAGGGTTACCTGGGTGGCTCAATTGGTTAAGTGTCTGACTCTTGATTTTGGCTCAGGTCATGATTTCAGTTTGTGAGATTGAGCCCTATATCGGACTCTGTGCTGACAACTTGGAGCTTGCTTGGGATTCTCTCTCCTCTCTCTCTGCCCCTCCCCTCTTGTGCTTTCTCTCTCAAAATAAGTAAACATTAAAAAAAAATTATGGCCACTGCCCAGTGAGTTATTTTCATGACCCATAATATACAAAACACTGCATGATAGGGCTTATTCTTTTAAATACTTATTTTAAGAAAGAGAGAGAATAAAGGGGAGGGGCAAAGAGGATCAGAAGCAGGCTCTGAGCTGTCAGCACAGAACCAGAGGTAGGGCTCCAACGACCTGAGCTGAAGTCGGACACTCAACCGACTGAGCCACCCAGGTGCCCTTGTACCATAGGGTACACGTTGGTAGCTGCTATGAATTTCCTAAGTGGCACAGTATCTACAGAGTGATGAAAACACTCCGTAGCACAAAGCAGCAGGATGATTTAATGTCAGGTCCACAATTCTTAAGCTTCTGGGGACAGATATGCTTTGAAAATCAGAAATTTTTCATTTTTATTTTAAAAAAAGTTTAATGTTTATTCATTTCAGAGAGACACAGGGAGAAAGGGAGAGGGAGAGGGAGAGGGAGAGGGAGGGGGGAGAGGGAGAGAGAGAACAAGTGGGGAAGGGACAGAGAGATGGAGATAAAGAATCCTAAGCAGGCTCCAGGCTCTGAGCCGTCAGCACAAGGCCTACATGGGGCTCGAACTCACGAAACGTGAGATCATGACCTGAGCCAAAGTTTGGACACTTAACCAACTGAGCCACACAGGCGCCCCAAGAAATTTTCTGATTTTTAAGAAGGTGAATACACACACACACACACACACACACTATATATTCATTAAAATCACAGTGCAGCGTGGGTCAGGCAGCATTTTGTACTTGAACACCTTAGTAATTCTAGAGTGAAGGGGATAAATATTCTCTCTAGGTAGGATAATTAAAGGTCATAAATCCCACCAGTTCTGGTCAGGTGTGGACACAAAATTTATGGAAAAAATGATCTTCCGGGCTTTCCAGATTTTCACTGTAGATAAGGCAATGTGGTAGACTTGTAAATGCTAACATTTACTCAACAGTGATTTTCCTCACATGACAGAGGCTAAGCCTTGACTTGGGAGTATAATTTGGCCCAGATGTGGTTTTTTGCCCGCACTGTTGGCAGATAGGAGGTTTTGAGAGAAAATTGTTTTAAGTAGTCTCAAACTTGAAAACCGCGAAATTGAGCATGGAACCTGCTTAAGACTTTCTCCCTCCCTCTCCCCCGCCTCTCTAAAATAAATAAAAATGAAAAAAATCAATTTCCAGTCTCCGCAGAATCCTAGGATTTGGTCCACTGAGTCTATTCCCACAAAGCTGTTAGTTGGGGCCTAAAGCTGCCTCCCCCTTATATGGGGCGAGTGCTCCCTGATGCCCCACAGTCCTCCACCAGGCAGTTCTCTCCTTATCTCCCTGCCCCTCCCTCATACACATCTGAGTTTGAGACCTCTGTCTAGTTTCCAAGTCACATTCTGTCCATATCTCATAGACTCTGAGCCTGGGGACAGAAGAAACTGGAGCCCTCATGTGAAGCTCAAGGTCACCCAGCCTTGACTTGGGCCAAACAATTACAGGACTGACAAATCTGGGGCTCTGGAGTTGAGAACTCCTGCTTCTTAGTGTGGGACCAGAGCCGGCTCTCACCGTGGCTTCCACGTGTACGAAATGGGACAAGTACAACAGCCCACAGCCCCGCGGCTGTAATTCTAAAAACCACAAAAAGCTCCGAAAACCAGAACCTTATTCATTCATACACGGGCAGCAAAACTGGACCCGAAGTGCCACACGCTGTATATACTGTGACTATTCACGCCTTTCCCGGCAGAAATAATCGACTTCAAGAACTGCCCCGGACCCCTCTGAGGTGTTGCCTAACGATGCCACAGGCACCCTGTTAACTTTCCAAACTCTGATAAACTGTGATCCCCGAAGTGCTCCCGGTGCCAAGGGAGCCGATACAACCGACGAGCCGCGCTCGGCGCCGCTGCGATTACAGGAGGGAATCCGAGCACCGCGCGGAGCCTGGCGCACAGCAGGCGCTCAATGTGAATTACTCTGCCCTCCTCCCACTCGTTCATCCGGCCAGATCCGCCCGGCTTCAACTTCAGGCAACCCAACCCCTCCTTCGGCTTCCGTCTCCTCACTCGAAGGTAAAATAAAATGTACCCTTTCCTCTCAGGGCTGCCGGTGAGGACTGGAAACCATTTCAGCGACAGCCCGGCAGAAAACAGGCTCTGCACAGAGAGCGGCCAAGACCCCACATGGACACCCACCGCCCCCAGAAGGCGCGCCCCTCACCGAAATGGGCCCGTGGGCGTTCTGTCATCCCTCAGGAAGGACCGAGCCCCAAGCCCCGGGGGCACTCAGCTCCCCCCCCCCCTGCAGCGCCGCTTCACCTTTGAAGACAGCCCGCCGTCGAGTTAACAGAAGAGACTCCCGCCCGGAGGCAGGCGCACACCCAACTCCTCCCACTGGCGCCTCGTAACAACTTCCGGCGCCGCGAGAATTTCCTCGAGCTCCTCCACCCAGGAGCCCCCGCGCCAGAGGGAAGACTCGGTTTCCCAGAAGGCTGTGCTGACTCCTCCCCTTCTGTTCCTATATCCACACTCGTCTCCGGCCGCTGAGCACTCTAGGAAATAGAGGAGGAACAAGATCGGGACCAGGGAGCCTGTGGGAATTGCAGTCCAATTTTTACTCAGTTAAAGGACAACCTAAGCAGCGTACTCCGGCCTGAAGGAGCCAGGGAGTTGCCATGGACACGCATTGAGGAGGAAATCCCTGAAAAGACGCTTGGAAGTAAAGGGCGGAGTTTGAGGCGGGAAATAACAAGACCCCTCTCTGATAGGCGGAGAGACGCTCCGTAGTTCATCCCTCCTTACCATTGGCTCCAGGTTGGCACATGCGCAGTAGAACAGGAAACTTCCAAGAGATGGTGGAATGGGGGTGGGCGATGAGGAAATAATCCCTCACTGGCACTGCCAGAGAGCAGTCCGGAAGCCAAAGGCGCCTGCGCGGGCGCTGTCCTTCCCCGAGGTCGAGGATGCGCGCGCAGCGCTTTCCGCCTCCCGGAAGTTTACTCGGGACAACTAAGAAGGTGAGTTCTACGATCCGCGAAGGGTCGGAGAATCTGACCGCAGATATCTGGCTCCAGACTCCGCTCACCAAGTCCAGAGGTGAGGAGAAGGTGAGGCAGAGCATGGGGAGGTCTCCTGACGCAGTGACCACACTTCGGTCGTGTTGCCTGTGACGTCAGTATGACCCTTTGCAGGAGATGGGGAGGCCCCGGTGCTGGGGTCTCGATGAAAGAAGCTTTTGGTCGCCTCTGAAGCCTCTGTGGGTTCTTAGTGGGCGTTACTACGACGGAGATGGGCAGGGCTCATAGGGAGCTTGTCTGAAGTCCAGTCCTGGCACTACGTCATGCCCGGTTTTTTTGAGGGCGGGGCTAGGCGAGTCGTGGTCATCTAGACGGCTGTACCTCCTTAGCTGAGGTGGACGGAGTCTAGTAGCCTTTAGCTCTTTGGCCGTGCAGTGGCTGAGAACCTTCTAGGACGCAATTCTTAACACACAGCAGATGTTCAGTAAATATTGGTTGAACAGATAGATGGATGATAATGACTGGCGTGAGCGTTGGAGCCTTGGGTTTACGTCCTGAATTAACCATGTGACCTTGGACAGGTGACCTCACTGTGAAACTACCTTTTTCCATCCGTATTTATTGAGCGTTTACCGTAACACTACTTCCATCCGGCCCATTAAACAGTTGCTCGTTTGTTTATTAATAGCATCCTATACGATGAGAATGTGAGCGTCCTCGGGTCAAGCAAGGGCCTTGTTCATTTCCTTTGCTGCTATATCCTCAGTGGTTAGCACATATTAGGAGTTCAGTGAGTGATTATTGAATGAGTGAATGAACTTAGTACTTGCCGGCTACATAGCCGGTGATCAATAAACACTAACCATTATCTTTCACTTATGTGTGGAATGGGCCTGAGTCAACCTCTCCACTTTTTATTCACTTACAGGACACTTTTAAGATGGAGTTTCCAGCCCAGTGAATCTGAGGGCCAGACTGTGACCCTATAAAGGTACCATCCCTTCAGCGACAAGCCCCCTTACGGCTTGTTCCCACCAACAGCCTGCTCCTGCTCCATCCCCTCTGTGTTGCTGCTGTCAGACTGCACTCCCAGCAGGAAGGTTATCATGGAGGTGACAGGGTCACTGGATTAGGCACTTGCCCCATTCTGTGGAGGCCATCTTTAGCCAAGGGCACTTGGCACCAAGGGAAAACTACACTTAAGAGAAAACCACTTAAAAGTCTAAAAAAAACCAACAAACCAACAACCAAAAAACTGTCAAGTTTTAGGGCCGGCTCAGTCAGTTAAGCGTCTGGCTCTTGATTTCGGCTCAGGTCATGATCTCACAGTTTGTGAGTTCAAGCCCCGTGTTGGGGTCTGTTGCTGACAGCAGGGAGCCTGCTTAGATTCTCTCTCTCTTCTTGTCTCTCTGCCTCTCTCTTGCTCATGTGCATGCACGCTCTCTCTCAGAGTAAATAAATTTTTCTGTAGTCTTAGGATGCTAGTCAGATGAGGCTGGACTGTGCTGCAGTAGCAGCAGCCAACATATCTCAGTGGCCGAACCCAAATTCAAGTTTGTCACAGATACAAAGCCTGGGACCACTCCAGGATATTTTGATCTTGTGGCTCCAAAGTCAACAGAAGGGCTTCAGGTGTTCTGTGGCTGACTCCTGTAACTTAACAAGAGTGCTCACCTGTGTTTACCCCTTTGAGAAGATAGATATGTCCATTCAAATGTCACTACCAGGACAACAAACCAAGCGCCACAGCCGGTCTCCAGGTTTCCTTCGAGGCTAAAAGACGTTTGGCAACAGCCTTTGCGCTCTTGACGTCGTACGTGGCTCCTTTGTGGGAGATGAAGGAAGGGCACTTTTCCACCACGGTGTGGTTTCTGCTCTTCTGCAGACCAAGGGGAACCAGAGCCCTCACCTCTTCTGGCTGAGATTTCTTTCATTAGCTGTTTGGACGGCCTGCGATTCTCAAGGGCAAGCACTAGAAGTCCTAAGTCAGCACCAAGAGGCAACAGAGAAACCTGGGAGGCTCGGAACTTCTGGAAAGAGAAGGGGAAGAAGAGAAAAACTAACAACTGGAATGTAAGTTGGATACGGGGCATGATCCGTTAATAAGAGCCACTAACGTAAAAGGCTTTCCGGGGATCAGGCCCTCAGCGCTTTATAGAGATGTATTCATTGAGGCACCACCAACCACTCTAACAGTCAACTAAGTACCATTAGACGCCCCATTTTACCGTTGGGCAGACTGAGGCAGAGAGAGAGAGGGTAAGTAACATCCGGCATGTAGCGAATTTGGAGCCGAAATCCAGGAGCCTGGGGCCAGAGCTAGACTTTAAGGACTCTTCCTGTTTACAGATGCAACAGACACCAAGCTCTATGGTGAATACAGGAAAAGGAGTTTGATCAGACTGAGCCAGACACAAAAAGATAGTTACGGCACCATCTCACATATAGATGGAATCTTAAAAACTCCTACTAACAGGGAGTAGAATGGGGGTTACCAGAGGCTGTGGGGAAAAAGAGGTATTGATCACAGGGAACAAACTTTCAGGGCATCTGGCTGGCTCAGTCGGAAAAGCAGGCGGCACTTGATCTCAGGGTCATGAGTTGGAGCCCCACATTGTGCATGGAACCTACTTTTATTTTATTTTTTAAATGTTTTATTTATTTCTAGGAGAGAGAGACAGTATGAGCAGGGGAGGGTCAGAGAGAGAGGGAGTCACAGACTGAAACAGGCTCCAGGCTCTGAGCTGGCAGTCAGCACAGGGCCCGACGCGGGGCTCGAACCCACGAACCGTGAGATCATGACCTAAGCAAAAGTCGGACACTTAACCGACTAAGCCACCCAGGTGCCCCGCATGGAACCTACTTTTAAAAGAAAGTGTTGGGGAGGACACAACCTTTCAGTTATGATTGACAAATTCTGGAGACTACGGCAACTATAGACAATAATAGTGTATCAGATACCTGAAATTTGCTAAGAAAGTGGATCTCAAGTGTCCTTGCCATGCATCCAAAAATAGCTATGGGTGGTGACGAATATGTTAATCAGGTGGTTGTGGTACTCATTTCACAATATGGACAAATTTCAGAACATCATGTGGTATACTTTACATATGTACAATTAGGGGCGCCTGGGTGGCTCAGTCGGTTAAGCATCCAACTTCAGCTCAGGTCATGATCTCATGGTTCGTGGGTTCGAGCCCCATGTCCGGCTCTGTGCTGATAGCTAGCTTAGCCTGGAGCCTGTTTCAGATTCTGTATCTCCCTCTCTCTCTGACCCTCTCCTTCTCATGCTGTCTCCCTCTCTCTCTCTCTCAGAAATAAATAAAAAAAAATACGTATGTACAATTATTTGTCAAAATTAAAAAAGGAAAGAACTTTCTTGCAAGCTGACATGAAGTCGCAAGCAAACTTACTTTGACTTCTGTTTCTTTGTTTTTTTAATGGTTTTATTTATTTTTGAGAGGAAGAGAGACAGAGCATGAGTGGGGGAGGGGCCGAGAGAGGGGGAGACACAGGATCCAAAGCAGGCTCCAGGCTCTGAGCTGTCAGCACAGAGCCCGATGTGGAGCTCAAACTCACAAACTCTGAGATCATGATCTGAGCCGAAAGTCAGACCTCCAACCAAATGAGCCACCCAGGCGACCCTCGACTTCTGTTTCAATAGCCAGTTTATAATTGCTACGGTACACCAAGTCTTAGAATAAAGAACGAAGGAAATAATCTTGTTTTCATTTGCTATTTAAAACATATAAATAGGGGCGCATGGGTGGCTCAGTCAGTTAGCCCTCCAACTGGCTCAGGTCATGATCTTGTATTTCACGAGTTTGAATCCCATGTTGAGCTCTGTGCTGACAGCTCAGAGCCAAGAGCCTGCTTCGCATTCTGTGTCTTCGCATTCTCTCTGCCCCTCTCCAACTCATGCTCGGTCTCTCTCAAAAAAACCACAACATCGGGGCGCCTGGGTGGCTTAGTCGGTTAAGCGTCCGACTTTCGCTTGGGTCATGATCTCGCAGTTCGTGGGTTCGAGCCCCGCGTCGGGCTCTGTGCTGACTGCCAGCTCAGAGCCTGGAGCCTGTTTCAGCCTGTGACTCCCTCTCTCTCTGACCCTCCCCTGCTCACGCTGTCTCTCTCTCTCCCCTAAAAATAAATAAAACATTAAAAAAAAAAAACCACAACATTAAAATATATAAATAAGCAAATAAAATGTATATACTTAAAAAATAAGTAAGGAGCACCTTGGGTGGCTCAGTCAGTTAAGCGTCCAACTTCGGCTCAGGTCATGATCTTGCAGTATGTGAGTTTGAGCCCCGCGTCGGGCTCTGTGCTGACAGCTCAGAGCCTGGAGCCTGCTTCAGATTCTGTGTCCCCCTCTCTCTCTGTTCCTCCACTGCTCACTCTCTGTTTCTCTCTCAAAAATAAACAAACATTAATGAAAAAAATCTATTTAATAAATAAAATATATCTACTTGAGAGGTACCTGGTTGGCTCAGTTGGTAGAGCACGTGGCTCTTAATTGCGAGGTCACGAGTTCGAGTCCCACGTGTGGCGTAGGGTTTACTTAAAATTAAAAAAGAATAATTTTTTTAAAAAGTAAAATGTATCTACTTGAAGTACCCATAGCGCTGGCATCCTTGTTGATTTTCTCTTCTTCGCTGAACTAGCTTAATCCCGCACTTACTGGGTGACTTGTGTCCCTCAGAATTTCATCATGAGAAATCCCTGACCCTGAATACCTCAGAATGTGACCATACTTGGAGATAGGGCCTTTAAAGAGGCAATTAAGGCAAAATGGGGTTGTTAGGGTAGACCAGCCCTCGTCTGAATGTTTGTGTCCCCCTCTCCCAAAATGCATATTTTGAAATGCTCATGCCTGATGTGATGGTATTAGGGAGTAGAGCCTTTGGGGAGGAAGGTGGGTCAGGAGGGTAGAGCTGTCAGCAGTGGGGTTAGTATTCTTTTGAAGGAGACCCAAGGTGGCTCCCTAGCCCCTTCTACCATGTGACGACACCGGGAAAAATTGTCAGTCTGGAACCCAGAAGAAGGCCTTCACCAGAACCCAACCATGTGGCATCTTGACCTCGGAGCCCCTAATCTCCAGAACCATGGGAAATAAGTTTCTGTAGTTTACAAGCCGCGCAGTCTGTGATACTTCATTATCGCGACCCAAGCAGACTAAAGCAGGGCCCTCATCCCATATGACTGGCTCCTTCTAAGAAGAGATTGGGACGCAGTCAGAGGAATGGCCGTGCGAGCACAGAAGGCGCCCATCTATCTGCCAGCCAAGGAGAGAGGCCCCGGAAGAAACCAAATGCTCACACCTTGATCTCCGACTCCCGAGGAAATACATTCCTGTCGTTCAAACCACCCAGCCGGTGGTGCTTAGGTACAGCATTCCGAGCAGTGAATACACCTGCTGCGTCCTTGTTTGTAATAGGCTCTATGTTTGCCTTTGGTTTGGATTTTCACAAGTATTAGGAAATATTCCGGAGACGCACACAGCCTAAAGGATAATATCATGAACACCTGCGTCTCGCTAGGTCCGGAGAAGACAGGCTGTTTGTAGTAACAGATGCTAAAGTGCTGGTGGCTTAATGCTGCAAAGTTTGTTTGCTGATTGTGAGATTCCAGGGTGGACCAGACAGCCCTTCTTCATCTTGTAGCTATGCCGGCTGGAGTAGATGTGGTTTCCGGGGCCATCCGTGCCGACGGGTGGAGGGAGGAGGTCCTCTGGCTCTTAACAGCCTCAGCTGGGAATTGACTTCCGCTCACACGCCATTAGCCAGGACTAGTCCTGTGGTCCCAGTGTAACTGCAGAGGACCCCCGGGAAGTGTAGGGGAGCCCCTGGATATTTAGTGAGCCCTCACGGTCTCTCCCATCCATCACGTGTGTTCCAAGGAACAAACATCACAAATACGGGGGAAGGCCCCCAGCGCGTCCGTGACTGGAGCAGATTTTCTCGCCTAACTTTCATGGACTCCAGGGCATTCCTGTATCTTCTGTGATGCTTGCAGTTTCATGTTACATTTTTCTGCTTTTGACCTGCCCTGGGCCATTGGGGAGTGACAGGTGGCTAGAAGCTGGACGAAGCCAGCGGGAACTCGTTTTAGAGGTGGCCACTTCCTGGGGCACCTGGGTGGCTCAGTCAGTTAAGCATCCGACTCTTGGTTTTGGCTCAGGTGACAATTTCCTGGCTTGTGAGGTCGAGCCCCGTGTCAGTCTCTGTGCTAACAGCACAGAGTCTGCTTGGGATGCTCTCTCTCCTCTCTCTGCCCCTTCCCCATTCTCTCTTTAAGTAAATACATTTAAAAAAGAGTGGCCACTTCCTAAGAGAGTATATTCCAACGTGGTAACTTTTCTCCCTTTTGCAGTCTTCATGGGGAGCTCAGATGAACTCCTCGCTGGCAGCTGATAAAGTTTTGCTTTCAGCTTCCTGTTCCCTCTTGTTTTCTAGCATGATCAACTTCTGTCCAGACTGTGGCAAAAGTATCAAAGCAGAATTCAAATTCTGCCCCTACTGCGGGCATCCTTTGCCTGCGGAGGAGCCTGAAGAGTGCCAGAGCTTTGTCAGACCGCTTACGTCATCCTTCCGAGGTAAGAACCAGCCCTTTGAGGGGTGATGAGCGCATGTATGTGCGCACCAGGGGAGGGGGGACGGAACCTCTGCGGTCTGACCGGCATTGATCCTGGAGCTGCCCAGGACTCAAGCTCTGTCTGTGCTCAGTCTCAATTTTTTTAATGTTTATTCATTTTTAAGAGACAGTAAGTGAGTGGGGAGTTGGGGGGAGAGGGAGACACAGAATGGGAAGCAGACTCCAGGCTCTGAGGTATTAGCACAGAGCCCGACGTGGGGCTCGAACTCCTAGACGGTGAGATCGTGACCTGAGCTGAAGTCGGATGCGTAACCAGCTGAGCCACCCAGGTGCCCCAGCCTCCGGTTTTTTGTTTTTGTTTTTTTTTAATTCTAGGAGAGAGAGAGAGACAGCGTGAGCAAGGGAGGGTCAGAGAGAGAGGGAGTCACAGACTGAAACAGGCTCCAGGCTCTGAGCTGGCAGTCAGCACAGAGCCCGACGCGGGGCTTGAACCCACGAACTGCGAGATCATGACCTAAGCGAAAGTCGGACGCTTAACCGACTAAGCCACCCAGGCGCCCCTCCAGCCTCCAGGTTTTAAAGCTGACAACTCAGGGGGCGGCTGGCTGGCTGGCTTAGTTAATTGAGCATCCAACTCTTGATTTTGGCTCACAGTTCACAGGATCAAGCCCCGGCGTCTGGCTCTTCGCTGACAGGGCAGAGCCTGCTTGGGATTCTGTCTCTCCCTCTGTCTCTGCCCCTGCCCTGCTCATGCACAGTGCATTCTCTCTCTCAAAATAAATAAATAAACATAAAAGAAATAAAAGAGAAGCTAAGACCCAAGGAGGAAAAAATAACTAAGACAAAGGGTTAATTTGCTTAGATATTTAGGTGAGCGAAGAAACAAGGCTTGGCTCTGGGGACTGGAGGGAGGAGACAGTTGAATGTGCCCCCAGGGTTTTCCAGTTTAGGGTTCCCTGGTAAAAGCCCTTGTCATTGCAGTCTGCATTCGGTCCTCCCTTCCCCAGGCTCCAAGAGAAAGAGGAGCTCCAGTTCTGAAAGCTCTTCCAAGAAAGTGAGATGGTCCGGCGCTGTCACCTCCCCCTCATCATCCGTTTTCTCCGATGCTGACAGCTCTGGGTCTGAAGATCCCTTGAGACCCTGTGAGAGACCCAAAGGTGAGAGTTGGGGTCACGCTGGCCTGACTAGATGGGGAAAAGGTGGGTCATCGGACAGTGTCGGGGGCGTCCTTCCCCTGCTCAGGCATCCCCTACCCCGCCTGGACCCGCATCGCAACACCCGCAGACTCCGGTCCATCTGCACACGGCCAGAGCTGCCCCGCCCCTCCCTGCACACAGCCTCCTGCCTCCCTCCTCCTCCCCACCCAGCCCCAGCTCTTCATCCTGGGGTCCAAGGGCAGCTCTCTAGAAAGCCTTTCCTGAGCACCGCAGGCTAGATCAAGGCTGCCTCGCCTCCCTCCAGAGCCTCTCTCTGCCCTGTTAGCCCCCAGGGCCGACAACACTCTCCTTTGAGCACACGCCTCCAGGCTCCATGGCCCTTTGTAGGCTCCATGCCTCACTTGTAGACTGAGAGTCCTGTGTGGGCAGGGACCAGGGGGATTCGTGTGCCTAGGCCTGGAGCCAGCCAGCGGGCGTGGGAGTCTTGACCATGAGCCCATCTCCTTCCTAGTGGACCCTTGGATCCAAAGTCACGGCCTCGGTGCCTCCCCTGTGTCCCCTGTTGTCCTCCAGGCCCCACTGCCTCTTGTCATTCTCCGCCTTGGCTGGATAGTGGGCGGGGGGAATAGAGTAGATAATACCTTTCCTTGTCTCTCCCTCCCCATTTCCCCCCATTCTGTTGCCAGTCTGGGGGCCCCTCGAGGGCACGACCTCTGTCTAACAAACTTCTGACTCCACTTTATACTCAGCACAGGGGGGCCAGGTCCTGTTTCAGGATGTTTTTGGTTGAATGCCTGGCAGGTCTTTTTTCCCCTCAGTGAACTTCTATTCATCCAACAAGACCCAACTCAAATACCCCCTCCTTCGGGAAGTCTCTCTTGACTTCTCCAGGCAATATCAGTCTCTCTCTCTTAGCCCTCTGTATTGTCCTGTTTTGGACTCAGTTCTGACCGATGGTGTCCAGGTCAGACTCCGCCACCAAATCCGGGGCTCCTAAGGGAAGGGCCCAGGTCTGATTCCTGTGTGGGTCCCCAGCTTTGTCGCACAACGACCTGATTCAGGAAATGTACCAGGAAGCGTTTATTGAATGAACAAACGAATAAACAGTATGATGAGCAATGTCGCATTACCCACCTAACTTGTCTCTCCCGGTTGCTGCGTTTTCCTTATGCTGACCATCCTCCCGCAGGGGCCCGGAGCAGATCCCCAACCCCCAGAAGCAGCCCACAGGCGACCAGGCAAAGCCCTCAGACCCTGAAGCGGAGCCGGGTGACAACCTTGCTTGAGGCTTTGCCCACAGGCACGGTGGTGGCAGACAAGAGCGGGCAGCGCTGGAAACTGGGAGCCCTCCAGACCAGGGACAGCCAGGGCGTTCTCTATGAAGGTGCGCTGTCCACAGGTGGGCGGGGCTGGGTCCAGCAAAGCATCTCGGAGGCAGGACAAGGGGCGGGGCCCCCGTTCTGAGAATGGAAGTGGAAGCCACATCCCAGGTGCCCACCTGCCTCTAGAGGGATTCTCTTAGGCTCAGGATTGCAAACCTGCCCGCCTGCGGGGGCTGGGCAGGGACAGGAAGCCTGTTCAGGAGACTAAGAGGTGATCTTAGGGACATCTGGGGACCAACTGGAAATCCTGTGCCGTATGTAAGGCCCCCCTCTCCCGCTCCACGGCCCCCTCTGTCGTGTGGGAATGTAGGCCCAACGTGGCTGAATGGTGAGGACAATGATGAGTGTTCTCAGTCCTGCAGAGATAGCATGGAACAACCTCCTCAAACCAAACTTCTGTGATTGTTAAGAGTGACACAGACCAAGAGAATACAAAAGGCTAATTGCTTGAGTGGGTTTGAACCGCTCTGAACCAGGAGGCAAAGGCGCCTCGTCTGGGTTTTTGTTTGGTGAAGGGGTGAGGCCTGGGTGAGGGTTCCCGCACAGGGGTGGGGGGCCTCATGTGATTTGCCTCTCCCATGAGCACCGCAGGAGGGAGCCCCGGCTTTCTTCTCAGCCTGCCCAGATGTGGAGCAGGAGAAGAAGAGGCAGGGCTAGGTGTAGAAGCTGGCAGTAGTCACACATTTAAAAAAAGAAGTCAGGGGCACCTGAATGGCTCAATCGGTTAAGCGTGTCTGACTCTTGATTTCAATTCAGGTCATGATCACACAGTGGTGAGCTTGAGCCCTGTGTTGGGCTCCACTCTGGGCATGGAGCCTGCTTAAGATTCTCTCTCTCCCTTTGCACTTAAGATTCTCTCTCCCTTTCCTCAGCTCATGCACTCTCTTTCCAAAAAAAATTTAAAAAAGAGTCAGATACTTTGTTACAATGAAGAAAAACGACAACTGTACTGTACTTTTTAGTATTAATCAACCTGACGTTTACTGAGTGCCTATTCAAGGCCACACCAGTTACAAGTGCTGTATGTGGTTTGGGGGGTGGGGGGTGTTGTTATTTTGTCAAATGAGGTTGCCTTTCATCGAAATGATTGACGATTTTAAAGTCTGCTATTCAGTGGGTTGCAGTCTCTTCATCGTGCTGTGTAGCCATCGTGTGTATCTAGTTCAAGAACATTCCCATCACCCCTAAAGGAAGCCTTGTACCAAAGCACTCACTCCCCACGCCCCTCTTCCCAGCCTCAGGCAACCGCTAATCTGTTCTCTGTCTCTCTGGGTTTCTCTGTTCTGGACGTTTCTGATAAATGCAGTGATACAGTCCGTCACGACCTTTTGTGTCTGTCTGCTTTCCCTCAGTGTGATGTTTTCAAGGTCCATCTGCATGGTAGCATGGCCCAGTAGTATTCCAGGAGTGTATATATCACATTCGGTTTCTCCATTTTGTGGGTCAGTGCACGTGTGCATTGTTTCCATGCTTGGGCTTGGTGGCTAGTGCTGCTGTGAGCATCTGGGCACACGTTTTCACGTGGACGCGTGTTTGCTGTGTACTTGCTAACTCACGATGGACATCAGCACTGCCCCATTTTCTAGATGCGCAAGCAGGTTCCAATGCTCAGCACAGAGGAGCCTGACGCGAGGCTTGATCTCATGAACCATGAGATCATGATCTGAGCCAAAATCAAGAGTGAGAAGCTTAACTGACTGAGCCACCCAGGTGCCCCCAGAATTGCAACTTTTAGTACAGCAGCTGCTGACAGTTTTAGCCCACTCTGGCCACCCCCTAAGTTCATCACACCAGTAAGATATGAGAGAGAGGGAGGGGCAGAGAGAGAAGAGGACAGAGGATCTGAAACTGGGGATCTGCGCTGACAGCAGAGAGCCCAATGTGGGGCTCGAACTCATGAACCATGAGATCATGACCTGAGCCAAATTCAGATGCACAACTGACTGAACCACCCAGGCACCCTTGGATCGGCTCATCTTATTCCCTCATGCATACAACCCTGTGAGTAGGCACCCTCTTCCTTTGTCAGTTCCTGAGTTCTAATGTCATCCTTCCCGTCTCCCCGGAACAATTTGGGAGAACCAGTATCGAGTGACCATATAAATCCCTGCAGCTGCACACAGCGTTCTGCTTGTGAGAAGCAGCCTAGGTTCAAGTCGAGGCCTGCCATCTGGGTCTGCGCCCTTGTGGACTGAGGTTTGGCACCCTTGGATCGGCTCATCTTATTCCCTCATGCATACAACCCTGTGAGTGGGCACCCTCTTCCTTTGTCAGTTCCTGAGTTCTAATGTCATCCTTCCCGTCTCCCCGGAACAGTTTGGGAGAACCAGTATCGAGTGACCATATAAATCCCTGCAGCTGCACACAGCATTCTGCTTGTGAGAAGCAGCCTAGGTTCAAGTCCAGGCCTGCCATCTGGGTCTGCGCCCTTGTGGACTGAGGTTTGGGGCTTGCGTCAGTTTCCTGTGGCCACTGTAACAAATTACCATAAATTTAGTGGCTCGAGACAGCACTCCTTTGTTCTCTTACAGCTGTGGAGGTCAGAAGTCCAAAATGAGTCTCACGAGTGTTCTGGAGGCTCTGGGGGTGGAGAGGGTCCTGTTTCCTTGCATTTTCAGGCTTCTAAAGGTGCCCATGTTCCCGGGCTCACAGCCCTTCCTTCAGCTTCAAGATGTATCAGCCTCGTCTGTTTCCATCACCCCCATGCCTTCCCCCACTTTGTCTACTCATACCCTCCCTAACCCCCTTCTTTATAAGAACCCTTGTGGGGCACCTGAGCGGCTCAGTCTGTTAGTTCTGGTTATGCTGGATCCCAGAGCAGCTTCCTTGCTCCAGGTTCAACATCTGGCAGCCGGGGACTTCCACCTGCTTGCCTGCTATGCTCTTGTCTGCATTTAGAGCATGTGGAGACTCTCCACGCATGTATCAGGTTTGCATCAGGCAGGTGTCTCCCCAGGTCCCTGAATCTGGAGCCCTGGGTTGATAGCCTGGGGCCAGTGGCCAAGCCCACGGCCCTTTCTGGGCCCCTGTTGGCTCCCCTCAATAATGGGAATTGCCAAGCCCGTTCTGCAGGCTGTTGGCATGAGGGCCAGTTAGAGGAGATCAAGAGAAAAAGCCCCTCGTAATCTGCAGAGTAGTGCACGAGATCGCATTTGAATTACCAGCTGTCCCTGCCTGCTTCTGAGCATTGGGTGCATATGTGTCACCCACCCATGTGGGTGCTCTGAGCCGGGCACTGTTAGCGTGCCTGAGAGGTGCCACAGCCAGCTCCAGACACCCGTTGGTGATTTCCCCAAGCCCCCTTCTCGCAGCTGGAAAGGGCCCCACTTTCCCCTGAAGTCTGAGCCCTTCACACATTACCCTCTCTTAGGCTCAGCTCAGGTCACCCTTGGCCCTGGGTTCTGTAAACCCTGGGCTCCCACTCTGCTCTGGCTGGAGGTTCTTGAGAGCAAAGATGGCTTCTGGGTAATTGTCACCTCCCTTAGTTCAGCAGCTTGGACAGCACCAACCTGGCTGAGCAAAGGGTAGGAAGGCTTTGAAATGATGGAGGACGCAGAGAGCCTTGGGGATGGACAGCAGCATGTTGGCTTATGGGCTCCAGGTGATGCCGAGCGCTCGTGGTGAGCCTGGCTTGGTGCCAGGCTCCAGAGCTGAATGGGTGCATATTAAGGATGAGGCTGGCTCTGTATGGTGTGCAGTCAGCTGCTGCTGTGCTCATTCCTGCTGGGCCACCTGAGCCCTTGCGTTCAGTCCTGGGGACGGGCTTCACTCCTATTTCACAGGTGTGGGAGTGGAGGCCCAGAGAGGTCGAGTACCTGTGCAGCCACAGTTGATTGCCCGGCATGTAGCGTCTCTTGGCCTCTCTGAGCCTCAGCTCTCCTCTCCTCCTGCAGGGGGCGCTAACAACAATGGCAGCAAGGGCAGTAATCCTAACATTGGAGTAGACCTTCCCTGGGCTGCCCTGAGCATTAAAGGGAGACCATGCATGTAAAGCCCACACTTAGCACGGAGTTTGTCCTTGAGCAGAATGGGATAAGCAGACAGGATGTTTATGAGGAAGAGAGGAGGAAGAAAGTGGGTGCTGGTCCCATGGTCTTTCAGCACGGTTCCGCGTTGGCCTGGCAGGACTGGATCAACCGTTGGATCTGGGCAGCCCCGGCGTTGGAGCTCAGAGGGCTCTGAGGGGCAGAAGTCCACCTGTGACAGCGTTCCCCCAGGTGGGGACGGGGCTGGGACAAGTTTTCATGACCCATGGTACTCACCCACATGTGTAGAAAAATGCAAATATCTGGTGCGTGGGGGGGTCCCCAGGACCCCCCCCCGCCAGGCTCAGGTAGTCACAAGGAGGGCCCATAGGCCTCAGTACATAGTGGGCCACTGTGCATTTCAGCAAAAAACACAGAGCACAGGCAAGGGAGGGGAAAGCCCCACGGAGTGACATCTGGGGGGAGACCAGCACAAGCTTCTGAGAGTCCCCTCCCCATGGGCTCCCAGAGGACGCCCAAGGAAGTGTGACAGCATGTGTGTAGTGTGGTCTACCGGGGGTGCTCTTCAGAGACCCAGGACCCAGTGTTGTTGTTCTTTATATTTATTTAATTTTGGTAGAGCGCATGAGGGATGGAGGGAGGGACAGAGACAGAGGATCTCAAGTGCGCTCTGCGCGGACAGCAGTGAGCCTAATGTGGGGCTTGAACTCACAAACCACGAGATCATGACCTGAGCTGAAGTCAGACACTCAACCAGCTGAGCCACCCAGGCATCTCACACCCCAGGTTGTTATTGGGAGCTGGCCACTTAGGCACACTCTGCCTGGAACGTACCAATGTTCTAGACTCCCAGAAGGAAAGCAGGTGTTCAGCATAATAGTTTGGGTGCAAGGGGCCCCTCTTACCGGTTCACCGATGCTGGAACCCTCCTGAAATCCAAGTTCCCCAGACACCAGCCATGGGCCACCCTTGCAAGCAAGCCTTTCCAAGGACAGAAGTCCAGCTTGCTTGGTAATAACCCTTTTTGTACAGCTGAATATTATCAAAGAGAGGAAGAGGGAGGGAAAAAACCTTTTTCCAAAACCTAAGAAAGAACAGGTCTTGAAAGGCAAGAATGCACTTGACAAGTGGAAGTGCTGCTTGTTCTTCACTGGGAAGTTTTAGGACCCTGGCTCTCACCTTCCCTGCCGTTCATAACCTTGCTCGTTTTGTCCACCCACAGCCGAGCCTGTCTCCACCTCCGCCTGCAAGTCAAGTCCCCAGAAACAAAGATTCTCGCTTAAACTAGTGAGTGTCCCTGGGGGGTGGTGCCAAGGTGGGGGCCTGGGGCTTGGGCACCACTGACCTCTGAGCCCCCTCTGAGGGCTGGCACGGGCAGGAGAGCTCCGCCTTGGCCTGCAGGGGGCAGTGGGACCTTGGGTGGGGTGCATGTCCCTCTGGCCTTGGGTTCTTTATCACAGAGGGTCTGGGAGGCTGCAGTCAAGTCCGCCCTGAGGAGCCCCGGTTCCAGTGCTGTCAGGCTGCGCAGTCTGGGCAAGTGCCTTCCCTCCTGGGGCTGAGTTTCCTCACCTTTGCAGTGGAGCCACTAGTACCCACATTGTGTGGCCCACTCGCCCACTACCTGTCTGCCTCAGAGCATGTATTTATTGAGCATCCACTGTATTTCACTGTGCTGGATGTTGGGTTCCATCAGAGAAGCAGTCAGATGGGGTCCTTGCACTGAGGAGGAGTCCGTGAAATCACTCATAACATTCGCGTACAGGAAACATGCACTTGAGTGGGGGTCAAAAGGGCAAAAACAAACCAAGAAAGTGAGAGCAACCAGGTGGGTGAGCCATGTCCTCCAGCGCAAAGCAAGAGCCTGGTGAAAGGCTACTGTCCTGGTTAGGAGCCTCATCCTCCCCGCGAGCTGGGATTACGGGTGGCTTTTATTTACTTCCCTTCGTTTATTCAGATTTTCTCACCCTCTCCCCCACCAGAACACTGGGGCAGCCGGGCCAGGTGCCCTCCCTTGGCCCTAGACGGAGGCAGTGTGAGTGGCTCAGGGCGAGGGCTCCGGAGCTCACAGAGGAGTAATAGCACCTGCTCATTGGGAGCCTGTTCCATGCCCAGCCCTGGGCTGAGAGTCCACAAGCAGCCCTGTGAGCTGCTTACTGTGTCCCCCATTGTAACAGGGGAGGAAATGGGCACTTGGTCCCTGGCCCGGGGCAACCAGCATGCAAGTTGCTTTCTTCACTGCTGCATCCGCAGTGCCAGTAGAGTACTCAGCACATGATAGGTGTTTTGTAGAAACATCAAATGAATGGCAGAGCTGAGCTTTGAACCTGGCTCTTTAGCCCTGTGCTCTGAAGACCCTGGTCTCTTAAGAACCCAGCTGTACTAGTTGTGTTTAATTAAAATATTTGGTTTGAATCATAAGGAAAAAAATAATCCAATGTTAATAATGGCTTAAGCAAAAATAATATTTTATTGCTGTCATATAGAAATTTGGGGCAATAGTCCGGGGCTCTGGCTCCACGAACAGGGGCACCCACTTTCTCTCTTGTTGCTCCAATGTCCTCAATTCCACGTGGGCCAAGATGGCTACCCCAGCTCCCACCAGCTCCTCTGCATTCCAGCCAACTGGAACAGAAGAGAAAAGGGAGAGCCTGCCCGGCCCTTTGAGGGCATAACCTGAAAGTTGCCCACGTCTCTTGTGCTTACATCCCTACTGCCCAGAACTTGGTCACATGCTCGTTCCTTACTGCAAAGGAGGCTGGGAAGTGTAGTTTTTAGCTGAAGGCCACATGTCTAGGGAGACTTGTGGATCCCATCATGAAAGAAATCTGGGCAGTGGAGATAACATGTTCACATGCAGCACTTTAGGGAATTTGGTTCTGATGTGAGGGATTCGATGATGGTTGTGCTGGCATTAACCTGGAGTGATACATGCCCAGTGATGACTAGAAGCCCTTGTCTAAGAGTTTGCATTGTGACATCCTTCTCCCCCCCCCCCCCACCATTCCCAACTAGGATGCCAAGGATGGGCGCTTGTTCAACGAGCAGAACTTCTTCCAACGGGCGGCCAAGCCTTTGCAAGGTATTCTGCAGGGAAATGGGCAACGGGGAGCGAATTGGGAATTCCTGATCAGAACAGCTAGCTTCCCCCCAAAGGTGTGGGGAAAGGCCCAGCTGTGTCCCGTCACCCCTCAGGCCTCAGAGGACAGACAGCGTGGGCCGGAGAACCTAGTGTTAAATTACCAGGAGTACCACAGGCCAGTTGCTAAACATAGTCATTACTTAAAATTAATTACATCAGCTTACAATCGGCTAAATTGTACTAAGAACAGTAATAAATATTCAGATCCTCAAAACTCATCACTTCGTAATTATTTGCCTACGTTTTCTATTATCCATACTCTTTGGGTTGTTTGCAGCCATTGCATCTGCATGGTGAAAACGCTGTGTGGTGATGTGCCGGCGTCTCTTGCAGCCACACGTTCCATGACGCCAGATCGGTGGCCTGAAATTGGCCACGGGGGGAAGGGTTTACACCACAAAAGTTGGCCAACACTCCAGCTCAGGGCTGTTTCTCCCCGGCCAGCCAGTCACTGAGCTTTGGTCACCCACTGAGACATCACTGGGTCTGTGCCTTCCCCTGAGATCCTGGAAGATGGGCAGACATCTTACTAGTCACCCATGTGAACCCTGAGGTTACTCTGTTCTTATCCCTTCCACTCCAGATTTGTTTGTGCTTTCTGCCTCGTTCACCCCATCACCTGCAGACACAGATGACACCCCAAGGTCAGCGATGCCCACCCTATCCCCACCCTGCCGTCGCCCACACGCAGAGGTGGCATCGCTGACCGGGAGCGCTGAGGGTCCGGTCTGGGCCTGGGCACTGCCTGCTTCTGCTCTGAGAACGGGCTGTGGGCCCAGGGTCAGGTGGGCTCTGACCTCTCAATTCCTTGCCTCCCACAGTGACCAAGTGGAAGAAACTGAACTCGATGCCCCTCCTGGCCATCCCCACCTGCGTCGGCTTTGGCATTCACCAGAACAAGTACAGGTGAGTCATTTCACGTGCCAGCCACCTCGCTGCTCCCGTTCTTCCTCTCCCTGGCACGCAACCGGGCATGACTGGGACCCTGGAGCCATTGGCCAGTCAGCTGCTTCTTTCTCCCCAGCTCTGAACCAGACTGATGCCCTACCAATCAGGAGCCCTTGATCTTACCCGTGAATGGAACTTGTGGCCACCCAGCCACAGTCCCTCCTTGGTGGCCTAGATTCTGCCCCCTGCCCTGGTCATCTCTCCCGCCTCCTGGGCTACTCCTGTCTTCCAGGTTCTTGGTGTTTCCCGTCCTGGGGAGGAGCCTTCAGTCGGCCCTGGATGACAGCCCAAAGCATGTAATGTCGGTGAGGTCTGTGTTCCAGATGGCCTGCCGGCTGGTATGTACCTACATGTCGCTGGCTCCCGTCCAGGGGATGGCACACTGGGCCCTAGACTACCAGTCGGCTTGTTCATTTGCACATTCAGCCTGTGTCTCCCTCTGCTGGACACTGGGGGCTAGCGCTTGACAGGCACGGGGGGGGGGCTCTAGACCATTAGAACCAGAGTGATGAGCATTCCCAGGTGGGAGTTGGAAGAAGGGGCCCTGGCCTCAAAATGAGGGACTCAGTGGGGCTTCCTAGTGGAAGCCACGAGTGGGAAATAACAAGGTGCCAGGTGGAGTGGGAGTGGAGATTCATGGAGAGAGAATATTCCAGGCCAAGGATAACTTGAGCATAGGCTTATATAGCAGAGAGAGCATAAGGCATTTGTTTATTCATTCACTGATTCATCCATCCATCCATCCATCCTTTTGTTAAATATTTATCAGGTCCCTGCTGGGTGTCGGATACTGTCCCTGGGGCTGGGAGTAGTGCAGACTTGGTTGTTATGACTAGTGGGAGTGGATGATCTTAAAGTAAACACTTTCACAAGCTGCAAACGTCCTCTGAATAGAAATGTCCCTCTGCTATGATAGAGGAACAGATGACCCAATGTAAATTGCAGGAGAGAGGGAAGTGGCCAGGGAGTGACATATTAAGTAAGTCCTGAAGGTCATCATGCTCAGGGTGTCTTCAGTTGTGACATGTGTAGGGGAAAGGGGTGAGTAAGGCAGGCTTGATGTGGAGAGGTCGGCAGCGACCAGATCATTCAGAACACCGAGGTGTCCTGAGAGCACTAGGGAGCCATGGGAAGATCATGAGCAAGGGAGGGGCAGGGTCAGCTCTGAGTGCAGAAAGGCCCTGTGGCCCTTGTGGGAATGGACTGGTGGGGCGAGATGGAGACCAGGTGAGGTCAGCATGAGAGGACAGGGCCTGAGGAGAAGAGTTTGCCGAACAGGCAGAAACTAGTGGACAGGTAAGCCTTGGGCTCAAGGTGGGCTTGGGGATGCACTCAGGATGTAATGACCACCCAGGCAGTTCAGTGTGTGAGTCTATAGAGTTCAGTAGAGAAGTCAAAGCTGGATATAAATACAAATTGCGGGGTGCCTGGCCGGCTCAATCAGTGGAGCACACAGCTCTTGATCTCGGGGTTGTGAGTTCAAGCCCCACGCTGGGTATAGAGACTACTAAAAAAAAATTAAAAACTTAAATAAGAAGACATGCTTGTGTGTGTCGGCAGAGAGGGCTTCCTAACGCTTCACTCAGAATTAGGCTGAAACAGCCTTCCCCCTTCCAACCACAAGTAGCGCCATCTGACCCTGGGCCCAAGAGGGGAGATTCCTTCACCGGGCTTTGCCGCAGAGCCCCTTGGTGTTAGTCAAGCCCCTCATGGAGATGCTGTCTTTCTTCCCCCAGCTGGATGCCCTGGAGTTCCTCCATGAGAATGAATATGTCCATGGAAACGTGACAGCTGAGAACATCTTTGTTAATCCAGAGGACCTGAGCCAGGTAATAACTGGGTCCCCTCCACCCTAGGGGCTCTCTGGGCTCAGGGTCTCCTGTGTCTCAAAACATCCCTGTATTTCACAGTGCTTATTGCAGATAAAGACTTGTCCATCACATGTAAAGGGCTCTTTTGGATAAATAAGAAGAGATAAGCAACTTAGTAGAACAGTGATAAGATAGGAAAGGTGGTTTATAGAAAAAGAAATCCATAGGTTAGTTAAATATGCGAAAAGAGACTCAACCTCCCTAAATAATGTCAGTAATCATAGAAATGAAAATTTAAACATCCTATTTTAGGAGTAGGCAAAACTTAAAAGAGTGATATCTGTTGTTGGTAAGGATATAAGGAAACAGAAATTCTTTATATCCTGTTGAAAGTGGGAATTGGCCAACCTTTCTGGAAGGCAGTTTGGATATAGCAGTCAAAATTTTAAATGCGTATGTTTTTCTGATCCACCAGTTCCTCTCTAAGGAACTTTGCAAAGTATACTTAGGACTCTGCAAAGGTATATGTACAAAATGTTTCTGACAGCACTGATTGTAATAGTCAAGAGGGAAAACCTTAAGTATACACTCTGAGTAGGAGTACTTATTAAAAAACCTTTTAAAGTAAATTTGAATTACGTTTTTAGTTGCAAAGGACAGAAACATGATTTAACTTGGCTTTAAAAAGAAAATGTTTAAGGGGTGTTGCAAATTATTGGCCCATTGAGTGGAAAAATCCAGAATTCACTGGCTTCAGGCATGGCTGAACAAGATCTATCTGGCTCCAGATTTTAATACCTGGAACCACTATTAAAATGCAAAAAGCAGGGGCGCCTGGGTGGCTTAGTCAGTTAAGCGTCCGACTTTTGCTTAGGTCATGGTCTCGCAGTTCGTGGGTTCGAGCCCTGCATCAGGCTCTGTGCTAACTGCCAGCTCAGAGCCTGGAGCCTGTTTCAGAGTCTGTGACTCCCTCTCTCTCTGACCCTCCCCTGCTCACACTGTCTCTCTCTCTCTCTCCCTGCTAGAAATAAATAAAACATTAAAAAAATTTTTAAAAAAATGCAAAAAGCAGGTTGCCTGGTTGGCTCTGTCGGTTAAGTATCTGACTTTGGCTCAGGTCATGATCTCACAATTCGTCAGTTCGATCCCCGCATTGGGTTCTGGGCTGACAGCTCAGAGCCTGGAGCCTGCTTTGGATTCTGTGTCTCCCTCTCTCTCTGCCCTTCTCCTAGTCGTGCTCTATCTCTCTCTCTCTCTCTCAAAATAAACTTTAAAATGCAAAAAGCTGTTGGGGGGGGTGGCGCCTGGTTAGGGTGGCTCAGTCAGTTAAATGTCTCACTGTTGAGTCTCAGGTCTTGATCTCAGGGTTGTGAGTTCAACCACCATATTGGGCTCTGTGCTGGGTGTGAAGCCCACTTTTTTTTTTTTTAATGTTTTATTTATTTCTAGGAGACAGAGAGAGAGACAGTGTGAGCAGGGGAGGGTCAGAGAGAGAGGGAGTCGCAGACTGAAAAAGGCTCCAGGCTCTGAGCTGGCAGTCAGCACAGAGCCCGACGCGGGGCTCGAACCCACGAACCGCGAGATCACGACCTAAGCGAAAGTCGGATGCTTAACCGACTAAGCCACCCAGGTGNGGACGCTCAACCAACTAAGCCACCCAGGCGCCCCGAAGCCCACTTTTAAAAAAATGTAAAAACCTAGGTGCCTAACGAGAGGTCTAGTGTCATCCTTTTGTGGGAAACTAGAGCCTCCTCTGCATCCATGTGTGTTTATTGGCTGTTCAAAGAAAGCTATTTGAAGCGATGCATAAGGAATGATTATTAGTGGTTACTTCTGAGCAGTGGGTTGGGGGCTGGGGATGGTCGGTTTGGGTTCTTTTCATTTCACACCCTTCTGTACTGTTTGGTATTCACTTGTGTCAGATTGCACCCATGATTGAAATCTCCAACTCTAGAATCCAGGCTCCTAACCTCCAAACTGAATGGCTTCTCCCCATGTCCACACAGGTGATGCTGGGAGGCTACGGCTTCACCTTCCGCTATGCCCCTGGCGGCAAACACGTGGCCTATGTGGAAGGCAGCAGGAGCCCACATGAGGGGGACCTTGAGTTCATTAGCCTTGACCTGCACAAAGGATGTGGTAAGGGTCCAGAGAAGGGATTCGGGACCATGGAGATACACTTCTCATATAAGGACAGCTCTAGGTTTTCACAGCCATGGACAGCAGGTGGCCAGACACAGGAATCCCACTAAGGGAGCCATGATGGGGATTCAGAACCATGGATGGGTTGCATCAGGGAGTTGTAGGGCAGCCATTCAGCACCAAGGACAGCAGCAAGGAGCTGGGCACAAGGAAGCCCCAGTTTCAGAGGTTCAGATTCAAGATTTGGTTTAGATTTAGAACATGAGAGTTGCCCAAGAGTCACTCAGGAGAGGCTGTCAAGGAGGCAACTGGCTCTCTACTCCTCGAGCTCAGGAGTAAGTCTGGACAGAGACCCAGATATCAGCAGTATGCCAGGAGCTGTCAGCTGAAGCCCTGGGAAAGGAATGAGATTATCCAAGGAAAGTGTACAGAATAAGTAAGAAGAGAGTACTTGGAGGAGACGATTCCTTGAGGAGGTCTCAGTCTCTCTTTTCCAAATCCCTTGATGTCACGGCCATCCGCGTGCCTGTCTGTACCCTCCCACCAGACTGACCTCCCCTAAGAAAGGGGTGGTCCCTATGCCTCCAGCGTCAAGTAGCAGGTCTGGTATAGTCAACTCTCAGTGTTTACATGAATTATTGTCTAAATCATGTAATTTAGGCAGCATAAGAAAAGTAAATCAGACAGCTTCTGTTATCCTTCTTTATTGAGGCTGGGTTCAATGCCCATTCTTCTGGGCTCCTTCTCACCCTGTCCTGCCTCCCCTGTAGCTCAGGTAATCCCACACTGTACTGTGTCCACATTAGACTGTCAAGGGCTGGGACCCAACCAAACTCTTGTCTGGGATTTAAGAATGTGTAATGGGGCCTGGTACACAGAGCTGAGGACTCAGTGAATGACTGAAAGACAAGAAGATGAGGGAGTAAGCTAGTGAGAGTGGGGATGGTAGGGGTGACTGAGAGAGTGAACGAGAGTAATTGAGAGACTCGTGACAGCGCAAGAGCTGGCAAACGAAAAGTGAATGAACAGACGAAAGCTCGTGTTCTTGGATGGTTGAGTCCATGAGTGCAGGGTTGAGTGAAAGAGGTAAAGGAAGCGGGTGGACCTGTCATGGTAGAGCATTTGGACTGAGCTGCTGCCTCTTGCCCTCCCTCCCCAGGGCCCTCCCGCCGCAGCGACCTCCAGACCCTGGGCTACTGTTTGCTAAAGTGGCTCTATGGGTTCCTGCCATGGACAAACTGCCTTCCCAACACTGAGGAGATCATGAAGCTGAAACAGAAGTGAGTCTAGGGGTCAGCAGAACCCAGCAGTGGCCTGGAACCCCCGCAGGTGGGACAGAAGCTCAGAACCCACCAGGGAACAAAAAGGAGGGGGAGGCAACGTCCCACAGAGCCAAGGCCTCTGCAGCTCTCAGGCATGTCCTGTGGTCATTCTAGCACACAGCAGCGTGGGCTCTGGAGCCATGCTGCCTGGGGTGAAACCCAGCCTCACCATTGCAGGATGTAGGGTGGGCAGCCTAACCTCCACAAGCCTCGGTGCTCTCCATGGGATGAGATCTTATTAACACCTACCACAGGGCCTGTGGAAGGATTCAGGGGAGTCAGCTACACAGCAGTCAGCACAGAGCCTGACCTATAGAAAATGTTCACTGTGTACGGGACACCATGACTCATTCATACCTTCACAGGCAAATGGAAAACTTAAGCAGTTAGGTCTGGACTCTACTTCAGCGTCTAGTGACACCGGTCACCAGTGTCCATACCTCCTTTCCCTGCCCTCTGCTGTAAAACCACCAGATCCTGAGAGTTCTGGTTTGGACATTCAGCACCAAGCATAGCACGCAGAGGCAGGAGCAGTAGTCGCTGGATGCAGCGGGAAATTCGGCTGTGTGAGATTCAGTACCGAGGACAGCGGGCAGCTTGGCTTGGAGGAAAGGGAGCACAGGCACTTTGGTCTTCAGCACCAAGGACAGCGAGGAGCGTAGCAGGATGCTGCGGGAAGTGGGGCTCTAAGTTTCAGCACCTAAGACAGCGGGCGTGGGGCGTGGCTAGGTGGGATTCAGTACCACGGACAGCGGGCAGCTGGGCTCAGAGCAAAGTGAGCACAGGCCCTTTGGTCTTCAGCACCAAGGACAGTAGACAGCTGGACCTTGGGAAGTCCTGCTGGTCCAGAGGTAGCGATTCAAGATCTGGTATAGATAGACTGGGGGTGGTGAGAGTTGCCTAGGAGTCCTCCTGGAGGGTCCGTCTAGGAGATTGCTTGGCCATCCATGTCTGAAGGGCAGGAGTGAAGTGTAAACAGAGATTCAGATGTCGTTGCTATCTCAGAAGTTGTTAGCAGAAGCCCTGGGAGAGAATGAGATTACCCAGGGTAAGTGTGCCTAGTGGAAAGAGGGAGAACTCTAGGGAACGGCACTGAGTCCTTTGTGCCTCTCAGTTCTTAATGTGCTGTTACTGGTTCACGTCGAGCCTCTCTCTCGGTCTATTTTTTCCCTTTTGTATCCTCCATCTTTTCTCAACCATGGACAACCCACTCAGCAATACTTACTATAAGTTCTACTGATGTTGCTTAACTGTATTTGTTTCCTAAAACTTGCGTGATGGTGGTGGTCCTGTGTGTGTTTGACTTGCATAAATGGTATTCTGCTCTAAGTCTCATCTGTTTCTGGCGTTTTTCACTCAGCACTGTGTTCTTCGATTTTAACCGCATCGTCACATGTGCACTGAGCTTACTGCCTCTGACTACTGCTTTTCAGTATGTTCATGTTGATAAGTCTGTGACTTTGAACAATGTATGACGAGTGTATTTCATTTGCATAAATGGTACTGAGCTCTGAATTTCTATTTCTTGCTTTCTTTCACTTACTGCTATGTTTTTCAACTTGAGCTACGTCGCTAGTGCACTGCCTCCTAATACTCCTTGTGAATTTGTCTGGATGTATCTGTATCCTTGAAAAATACATGATGCCACTGTTGGGTGTGCATTTGATTGGCACAAAGGGTACCACGCCCTGAATCTCATCTTCCTTCAGGTTTCTACTTAAACACTCGGGGCGGGGGGGGCTTGTCACCCCCACTGCATCAGGCTTCCTGCTTGTGCAGGCTCAACGGAAGGGATCTGCCCCTGTCACATTGGCCTGCTCCTACCTAGTGACCTCTGTTCGAGGCGAATGTTTATCATAACCCTTATCTATGCCAGTCTCTGTGCCCAGTGCTTCCCTGTGTCATCCTCAGAACAACTTAGGTGAGCTCTCCCAGACTGAGGCACAGAGAGCTCAGATAATCAACCCTGGTCACACCGCTGCTAAGTAGAGGTGCTTAGGCTCACACCCAGGCCACTCGACTCCAGAGAAGTTTCTTTGACCTTAAAGCCATGTAAAAGGATGGAATGTTGGGCCATGGGTGCAGCCTTCCTTCACTCAACAGATATTTATTATAATTTGTTTAAGGTCTATTCCTTTTTAAGAGAGAGCGAGAGAGAGAGAGCAAGTGAGGGAGGGGCAGAGAGAGAGGGAGACAGGATCCGAAGCAGGTTCCACACTGACAGCACAGAACCCGATGTAGAGCTTGAACCCACGAACCACAGGATCATGACCTGAGCCAAAGCTGGACACTCAGCCGACTGAGTCACCCAGGTGCCCCTCAACAGAGACTTCCTGAGCACCGGTCTTTGCCCCACACTCTGCTCTAGTCCCTGGCGACACAGGAATAACTGAGACAAATGTTCCTGCTTTTAGGGACCTTACATCCTAGTGGCGGAGACGAGAGATCAACGAGTAAAGCACACAACATGTCACAGTCCAGACTAGTTGGGGCCCTTGGGTCAGAGTCCTGGGTGTGGCTCTGGGCACTCACTGCTCCTTTAGATTTAATGGCCAGGGCCGTTCTCATGGCAATGGTGACAAGTGAATCCATTCCAGAAGGGCAGTGAGGCAAGGACGATGCCTCGCTTTGGTGCTGATATGCCCTTGATGTCTCTGAAGGAGGAGAGAGAGACAGAGAAAGAGAGGCCCCTGGCTCTGGGTCTTTCACAGGCAGCCTCTGTGTCAGAAGGCAGCCTCAGAACCCACCAGAACGTGAGCCCATTGCCCTCTTTTCTTGGAGTTTATTTTTGCCCTTACTTTCGAGTTTCCTGGCAGCTCTCCATTCTTGAAATGAAGCCAGGTGAAAACAAGTCGCCGAATTTAGTAACACGGCTGGTAGGAGCATATGACCCAACTGCCAAGGCGTTGAGTGTGGCGGAAGCCTGTGAACAGCTCCTTCACGCACTTCTGTCGTGTTAAAGGCAAGGCGGAGCTGCTCTTACAAGGAGATGCCGCAACAGGACAGTTCGGACAAGGAAGATTACTTCCCTTCGCGCCCTTCAGCCTGTGTCCAGCCTTCTCTGGTGCCAACGCTGCTGTCGCCGTCTCTCACTGCTCTTAAAGGGCAGGACTGGGAATGACATGCATCTCTTGGTCACATGGCCACCGCAAGCTGCAGTGGGGCTGGGAAACGTCTGCAGCCTCGGGCCACTGTCCCCTTGGGATCTTGCCCTTAAAGGGGAGAAGTGACAGTGGACGACAGCTAGAGACTCTCCATGGTGCCACCTTCAGTCAAATTTCTGCAAGGACAGGGGCCACACCAGCTCCCTTCGTCACTGTGTTGCTCACAGCATGGCCCTTTACACATTGTGAGCGCTCAGGAAATAGTTATGGAATGAATGAGTGAATAAGGAAAGAATACATGAGCCTTCATTCCCAGGCCTAGGCGTCCGCGTGGACAGACAGGTCAGGCAGACGCGGCCCCAGCCGTGGAGGGTTCCCAGGTGGGAGGAGAGCACACGGGCAGGAAGCAGGTGGAGGCAGCCCCAGGAGCATTGTGGGAGCAGAGGGAGGCACGTTACTCGGCCTCAGGCCGCTGGGTGCCTTTACCCAAGAGATGCCTGACCCCGTCTGAACAGAGCAGGGGGCCTTCCCGGGCAGGCAAAGGGGAGGCAAGATTTCTAGCCAGAAAGGAGGGCACACACATAACATTCATTCATTCAGAACCTGTCTCCTGATGGCGATTATATATGGATATTATATGCCAGTTCCTGGGCTGGGAAATGCTGCAGACCCAGATGTGAATCTGCTGAGTGCACCCCTTGTCACCAGTGAACTCGCCCATTGAGGCTCCACTGGGTTGCATCCTCCTTCCACGACTTCCTCTAATTCCCGAGAAGAGCCCTTACCCCCCTTTTCACACCTCTGCCGCCTTCCCCTTCACAAGAGATAATCAGGGAGTAGGACGTGCTTCTCTAGAAGGCTGTGCACTTACCCGGTCTGTGGAGAGCAAATAAAGTAGGTCCTAGGGACGCCTGGACGGCTCAGTTGGTTGAGCTTCTGACTCTTGATTTCAGCTCAGGTCACAATCTCACAATTTGTGGGATTGAGCCCCGTGTTGGGCTCTGCAAACTTAGGATTCTCTCTCTCCATATCTCTCTGCTCCTCCCTTGCTTGTGTGCTCGTGCTCGCGCTAGCTCTCTCCTCAAAATAAACATTTTTAAATAAATAGGTCCTAGTAATAATTTTAATAACCGGGATATAAGTATGAGAACAGTTCATTCCCGAGCCCGGGATCCTAACCACAACCACAGAGGGAAGGTCTGAAACATCAAGAATCATCGTGGGGGCGGGGGGTGCTCAGCATAGAGCGCCACCCCGCCCCAGTCCTGTGACTTGAGGCAGTAACAAAAAGGGCCAGGAGGGGGCGATGTTGCCACGTGCACATTTTTGGAACGTACCGGCCTCTAGGGAGCCCTACCTGTGTGCATGGCCTTTTCCCATTCATTCAACATTTATTCACTTTTCTTACATTCTAGTTCAGGATGGAATAAATGAGTGAAAGAAAAAGGACAGGCATTTTGATTCCTGAAGACTTTATGGTGTGCAAGTCCCCTTCTGGGAAAGCACAGGCACTGGTCGAATTTGTTCCCTGCTCTTAAGGCTGCGGGCTGGGCAGGGACGCCCCAGGGACACTGACACCCAGTGGCAGAGTCGCCCATACATCCTAGGGGCACAGACCTTTGGTGCCATCACACACATAGTGAGATGCCAGGAGAGATGAAGGTCAGACCCGGCCCTTGCCATGTCCTGAAAGTGCCTTGGGGCATCGGTGGACTGTGCACAGAGCACTCAGGCAGTCGGGAGAGATCTGTTTTCTCTGTCCAGTGGGATCATGGGGAGGCTTCTAGGAGACCAGCCGTCAAGCAGTGTCCGAAAGGGAGAGCGGTCATGGCCAGGGGTCAAGATAGGAGAAGGCTGTCAGGGCAGAGGAAGCAGTATGTGCTGATGCCAGGAGGTGTGATGGATGCCTGACCTAGTTTGCCAACTAGAAGCGGCGTGGTGCGGCTGGGGCATGAAATGGGAGGGAGGAAGGAAGCCAGAGAGACCAGGCCAGAGGGGCTGGCAGCCTTGTGTGCGCTACGGGCTTTCCCCCAGGGCCCTGGGGACTCCCCTGAGGGCTGTGAGCAGGAAGGGGCAGAGTCTGCTGGGGAAGGGCTATGTGGGGAATGTGCAGGAAGCTGGGGAGGAAGCTGAGGTCCAAGGAGGGAGGATAAGGCCTGAAATGGGCCAGAAGGGGGGTGGTGCATGAGGGTTGGGGAACAGGAGGGTGGAGCTTGGGGCTCTACGGGCTGTGGTTGGGGCAGGCAAGGATGGCACCACCAGGCACTGGGTGGATAGTGGGGAGTCAGGTCGGTGGTCCAAGTGAGGATGGAGCAAGGAAGTGGATGAATTTCTTTTTTTTTTTTTTCAGTGTTTATTTATTTTGAGAGAGCGGGGGCACATGCGCACACAAGCAGGAGAGGGGCAGAGAGAGAGGGAGAGAGAGAAAGAATCAAGCAGAGCCCGACATGGGTCTTGATCCCACAAACTGTGAGATCATGACCTGAGCCTAAACCAAGAGTCAGATGCTTAACCGACTGAGCCACCCAGGCGCCCTGGAATTGGATGCGTTTCTGGTTCTCTTGAGTAGCCCAAGGGGACGTGTGTGTGTGTTTATGCAAAGAAGGATAGTCCTTGTTCATCACAGATTCCGTATTTGTGAATTCACCTGCCCACTAAACGGTGTGTGTAACCCCAGAATCACCCACAGTGCTCCCCACGCCTTTCTCTCACACACACAGAGCAGAGATTTAGAGTCACCTGCTGCACACAGTCCCAGCTGAGATCAAACAAGGCAATGCTCTGCCTCTTGTTTCAGATCTCACAGGGTAAACAGGGTCCTTCGTGGAGTCTGTTTAATGCCCATTTTCCAGATGTTTTCATTTTTAATTTTTTTTAATGTTTTATTTATTTCTGAGAGAGAGGCAGCATGAGCAGGGGAGGGTCAGAGAGAGAGAGGGAGATACAGAATCCAAAGCAGGCTCCAGGCTCTGAGCTGTCAGCACAGAGCCCGACGCAGGGCTCGAACCCACGAACCATGAGATCATGACCTGAGCTGAAATCGAATGCTTAACCGACTGAGCCACCCAGGCACCTCTCCAGATGTTTTTGTTGAGGATTTTGCTCTGAGCTCAGTGTGATTAAATCAACATTATATTAAATATGGATCTTTTTTTTAAATGTTTATTTATTTTTGAAAGATAGAGAAAGACAGAACATGAGCAGGGGAGGGTCAGAGAGAGGGGGAGACACAGAATCTGAAACAGGCTCCAGGATCTGAGCTGTCAGCACAGAGCCCGACACGGAGCTCAGACCCACCAATTGCGTGATCATGACCTGAGCCAAAGTCGGTCACTTAACCGACTGAACCACCCAGGTACCCCAAATATGGTATCTTAAGCACAAGCACACCTAATACAAAAGTAGTGATCAGTTTATGAAAATGTAACCAGAACCTCTCAGGAAACTGATGCTACGTTTCCCCTAAAAGCATGGTTTAGAATTCACTAATTCCGTACTTGAGGCCACACTACAGGCCGTAAGTACCACAATTAACAAGAATCCACTGTACATCTACTAGACATTCTGTTTTATTTATTTGTTTATTTTAAAGTTTATTTACTTAGTGAGTTGGGGAGGGGCACACACATTGTGTGTGTGTGTGTGTGTGTGAGAGAGAGAGAGAGAGAGAGGAGAGAGAGAACCCTAAGCAGGCTCCACATTGCCAGTGCAGAGCCTGATGTGGGGCTTGAACTCACGAACCACAAGATCGTGACCTGAGCCAAAATCTAGGGTCAGATGCTTAACTGACTGGGCCAACCAGGTGCCCCTAGACATTGTTTTAAAAATGTGCTCTCCTGGGGAGCCCAGGCGGCTCAGTCAGTTAAGTGCCCCACCCTCGATCTCAGCTCAGGTCATGCTCTCATGGTTCGTGAGTTCAGGCCCCGCATCAGGCTCTGCGCCGACCTTACGGAGCCTGCCTGGGATTCCCTCTCCCGCTGTCTGTCCTTTCTCTGCTTCCTCTCTCTGTCTTTCTCTCTCTCTCAAAGTAAATAATAAACTTTAAAAAAAAAGTTTGCTCTCCCCTCCCTAAAAGACGTCTTGCATGCCTCTGTGTTCTGGCAGGTTCCTTGACAACCCGAAAGGCCTCGTGGGACAGTGCAGTCGCTGGATCAGTCCCTCAGGTATGTCCTGAAGGGGGAGGGAACAGTTGGGTGAAACAGGCCCCCTGGTCGGTTCTGGGATTGTCCCTCTCACACACCTTTCTTCCTTCGAGTTTTCCAAACTGCGTGTGTGTACATACCCGTTCCAGAAAAACAAAATTCAGAAGTGTCTCTGCATAAAAGTAATAACACACACACACACACACACACACACACACACAACCACACACACGATATTGTATTTCTCTATGAAGATTTGTTAAGGACAAGAGTGTGGGCCGGGTTCAGCCAGGTGGGGCTTCTCTTGGTCTGAGGGGTGAGCGGGGGAGGGGAATTCGTGCCGCTGCTGCCCGGCTGTGGCTCAACTGGGGCGGCTCGAGTTCAAGGGCTCCTGTCTCCCGTCCGGCGATCAGCGCGGCACCGTTTAGGGCAGCTTCCCAAGAGGCCATGGACAGACGCCGCAAAGCACAGGGGTCCGGGACATGAGTCCGCCACATTCAAGCGAGCCCCAACGCCAGCCCAGACGCCACCGGGGGCAGGTACCTCCACCTCGAGATGGGAGAGGCAGCGGACATGGCAGAGGGGCACCACGCGGAGGCGGGAGGAGAAGCGGCCTCCGCAGTCTGCTGCAGCCGCGCTCTCCTACAGAGCAAGCGTCCGTAAGGGCCTGCACACCTGGGCTGGTTTCGTAGAGCAGTTGCTTTTACAAAACTGTCATTTTTTTTTTTTTTTTAATGAAAATAATCTTGCCTTATGTACATTCTGGTCAATACCTTGCCTTTTTTTTTTTTTAAGTTTATTTATTTATTTTGAGAGAGAGAGAGAAAATCCCAAGCAGAGCTCGACGTGGGGCTCAGTCCCACAAACCATGAGATCATGACCTGAGCCAAAACTAAGAGTCCCATGCTTAGTGAACCGAGCCACCCACGTGCCCCAGCATCTTGCTTTTTTCATTAATTAACATTGGCTTTTCTGTGTCCTTACTCCTAGATCCACCACAGCCTTTTTTTGTTTTATTTTATTTATTTTTATTTTTAGAGAGAGAAAGAGTCCACCAGTGGGGGAGAGGGGCAGAGGGACAGGGAGAGAGAACCTTAAGTAGGCTCCACGTGCAGCGTGAAGCCCAACACAGGGCTCAGTCCCATAACTCTGGGATCATGACCTGAGCCAAAATCCAGCCTGACTCTCAGCCCCTTAGCCAGCCAGGTGCCCTCTGCACCATCATGTTCATGGCCAGTCCCCGTTACTGGAGATTCTAGTGTTGCTTCTGTAGAACTTCTACGTTGCCCTCTAAACATGAGGCTGAAAGAATGGATTGTTTGTCCCCTCCAGCTCTGTAAGGGCTCATTTTTTTTTTAATGTTATTTATTTATTTCTAGGAGAGAGAGAGAGAGAGACAGCGTAAGCAGGGGAGGGTCAAAGAGAGAGGGAGTCACAGACTGGAACAGGCTCCAGGCTCTGAGCTGGCAGTCAGCACAGAGCCCGACGCGGGGCTCGAACCCACGAACCGCGAGATCATGACCTAAGCGAAAGTCGGACACTTAACCGACTAAGCCACCCAGGCGCCCCAGGGCTCATTTTTTAAATGCTTTTATTTATTTTTGAGAGAGAGAGAGACAGAGCTCAAGCAGCAGAGGGGCAGAGACAGAGGGAGACACAGAATCTGAAGCAGGCTCTAGGCTGTGAGCCATCAGCACAGAGCCTGATGCAGGGCTTGAACTCACTAACCGTGCATGAGACCGGACGTGAGCCAAAGTCAGTCGCTTAGCCGACTGAGCCACCCAGGTGCCCCCCCACCCAGAAAAAAATCTTTTTTAATTTAAGTGCCTTAGGCAGTTGCAGGCACAGAGGAAGCACTGAGCAAATGGCACTGTGGCGGGGACTCGGGGTTGGGGACCCCTCTCAGGTCTCTCCTGTGGTGGGGGGTGTCATCACTGCAGAGACCCTGAAGGAGTACCTGCAGGTGGTGATGGCCCTGAAGTACGATGAGAGGCCGCCCTACACCATGCTGAGGAACAATCTAGAAGCCCTGCTGCAGGACCTGCGGATGTCCGCCTACGATCCCCTGGACCTCCAGATGGTAACATAGGTGGGTTCTAGAAGGCGGAGTTTGTGAGTCTTAACCCTCCCTCACCTCCACCAGCCCGGCTTCCCAGATGCCATTTAGGGTTTCCTCCAGGGCCGACCTCCCAGTTAGATGCTGGATTTTTCCACAGCTTTCTCAAACCATCCAGCCCTCGGGGAATCGCACACAGCAGGAACCTGAACCTGACTCAATTTGGCTTGAAGGAAAAGAGGGATCGATTGGTTCTTGTAGCTAGAAAATCCCAAGGGGGAAGCTTTTAGGCATGACTGGGCTCAAGGCTGGGAAAGCAGAGTCAAGATGTCATCATCTCTCCATCTTTTTCTGTCTCTTTCTTCATCCCTATGTCTGTCTATCCCTTTCTCCGTCCACCTGTAGCCTCCACTTTCCTATGGGATGGCTCCTCCCGCCCCCATCACAAGACTGCTGGCTCTGTTCCCAGTGATGCACTTTGCCCTTCACTTCTCGGTCTATCTCACGGCCCTTCCCTGTCAGCACAGAATATGCGTGACCTTGCTTATGGACACACTATGTTTCCGTTGCGATTGCAAGCATACTCTTTATTTTTTAAAGTTTATTTATTTATTTTAACAGATAGAGAGCGTTTAAATGGGGGAGGGGCAGGGAGAGAGGGGGAGGGGCAGGGAGAGAGGGAGAGAGAGAATCCCAAGCAGGCTCCGCGCTGTCAGCACAAAGCCCTACTCGGGTCTCCTTCAGGTCTCCACCTCCGCCCTTCTCCCGGGATCCCCCCGGAGGTGGTCGACGGGGCGGTCCCTTGTCATAGTCAGGGCCCAGCTGCCTGGCTTCTGTGTGCGTTCCTTCCAGCCCTTGCTGGACAGGCACACAGACTCCACCCGTATTTACCCTCGGAGCCTCAGTCTTCCCATTGTGCTGGCCTGTCCTGCGGTGCCTCCCTGTCCACCCAGTGCGATGGAGATTTTAAAATTAGAAACCTTGGGCGTCTGGGTGGCTCAGTTGGTTGAGCACCCAACTTCAGCTCGGGTCATGATCTCACGGTTTGTGGGTTCGAGCCCCATGTCGGGCTCTGTGCTAACAGCTCAGAGCCTGGAGCCTGCTTCGGATTCTGTGACTCCCTCTCTCTCTCTGCCCCTCCCCTGCTCACAATCTGTCTCTCTTCCTCTCAAAAATAAATAAAACATTAGAAAAAAAAACAACTGGAAACTTAACAGCTCCTTTCAGGATCATTATGGTTTGGGTCTGAAATAGTAAGTGGCAGTTTGTCTACTTAGGAACTTGATAAGGAGATGCTAATCAAAGAGCCTGGTGACCTTGGAATAATTTGAAGATTTCGTCTCTTGCTTAATGGCAGCTCCTTGCCTTGGCCCGCCTGGCTGAACCCCCTCCTCCTCACACCTCCCCTCCCAGTCTACTCTGTGCCAGCCACACTGTCCTCCCCTCAGATTCTAATCCAGGCCAAGCTCGATCCCACCTCAGGACCTTTGCACTTGCTATTCTCACAGTCTGGAACACTTTTTCCCTTCATCTTTTTGAGGTTGGGGAGGATCAGAGGGAGAGGGAGAGAATCAGAAGCAGCCTCCACACTATCAGGCAAAGCCCAACATGGGGCTCGAACTCATGAACTGTAAGATTGTGGCCTCAGCTGAAGTTGGAGGCTTAACCAACTGAGCCACTCAGGTGCCCCCCACTTCATTCTTGAATGACTGGCTCCTTCTCATCATCAGTGCTCAGACCTGGGCCTTCCCTCACGGCCCCAGTGAGGCACTTCCCCACCCCCTCTCATCACCTCACCTCTTTTACACATGGCCCAGTCCTCTTCCGGAGGGAAGTTAATTTGTAACGTGTGTATCCCCTCTCCCAAACCATAAGTCCAACAAAGGTTCTTGTTCACGGTAGTATTGCCAGTCTCTAGAAAGTGCCGATAGGGGGTTAATGGGTACCCCTTAAATGACTAGGACACTAACAGCCGTTTTTATTTTCTTCCAGAACTTTTGACTCAGGGTTTGAAATAGAAAAAAACCCAAACAAGAAATGTGACTCAAGGCCTGCTGTAGTATCACAGATACACTTCTAGAAAGATCCCTTGAATGTGCCTGCCTGCTGCTTTTTTAAGCAACACTATGAATCTGTCTTGATTAGCGTCAGGGAACCCGGCAGTTAGGCTCCAGACAATGTGAATTCCTCCTTTCGACGATCCCACCCTTCCAGCCATCATCTCCCACCAGCCCCTGCGGTGTGGACAGAGAAGACCCCCAGCTCATGGTAGGAGGTGAGCCAGCCCCCTCAGCGGGCACCCTTCCTGCTACTATTGGCCCCATTATGCTTTGGTAATAAATTGTTTCATTGGAGCTTGGAGAGCAGAGTGTCCACAAAAGAAGTTCCTTGTGGAAAAGTTGGCTTCTTTTTTTCTCCATCTATCCATCCCTTCAGCCTTTCATCCATCTATCCACCCTTCTGTCCAAAGTTTCATGTAGGTACCCCTTCATCCATCCACCCATCCATTCGTCCACCCATCCATTTGTCCAGACACCCATTCTTAATTCCTTCCTTCCATCCATCCATCCATCCATCCACCCATCCATCTATCCATCTATCCAACCACTCATCCACCCATCCAGTTATCCAGCCACCCGTTCTTTCATCCATCCATCTGTCCATCCATCCATCCATCCATGTATTCATCCATCCATTTATCCAGACACCCATTCTTCCATCCATCCATCTATCCATCTATCCAACCACTCATCCACCCATCCAGTTATCCAGCCACCCGTTCTTTCATCCATCCATCCATCCATC